ACTCTTCGCTAACCTTGGATCCCCAGGTGTCGGCGGTGTCCAGGGGAGCATTTGCACAACTCAAACTTGTGCGCCAGCTGCGCCCGTACCTTGGGAAGTCGGACTTGGCCACGGTGGTCCACGCTCTGGTCACATCCCGGATTGACTACTGCAACGCGCTCTACGTGGGGTTGCCCTTGAAGACAGCCCGGAAGCTTCAGATGGTCCAGCGCTCGGCAGCCAGGTTGCTAACAGGGGCGGCACTCAGGGAGCACACCACTCCCCTGTTGAGCCAGCTCCACTGGCTGCCAATCCGCTACCGAGCTCAATTCAAGGTGCTGGCTTTAGCCTATAAAGCCCTAAACGGTTCTGGCCCCGCTTACCTCTCCGAACGCATTTCCACCTACGAACCGACTAGAACATTAAGATCGTCTGGGGAGGCCCTGCTCTCGATCCCGCCTGCGTCACAGGTGCGCTTGGCGGGGACGAGAGACAGGGCCTTCTCAGCGGTGGCCCCTCGGCTATGGAATGCTTTGCCAGCAGACATCAGACAGGCACCTTCGTTGCTGGCGTTTCGGAGAATGGTCAAGACCTGGCTCTATGAGCAAGCGTTTGGCTAAGTAATGCAACTAACTAAGGAAGACGGTAACTGAATATAGGAACGGCATAATGACTATGAGAATGGATCTGACTTTAACGGAGGCGTTGTATATGTTGTTTGTGGGTTGTCTGTCTGATGTTAATTGTTGGTGGAGCGACTTGTCGTTCCGGTTTTTTGTACTATTGTGTTTTAACTGCACTGTGAACCGCATTGAGTCGCCTGCTAAAGGCTGAAATATGCGGTATAAAAGTGAAGCAAATAAATAAATAAATAAATATACAGTTACAGTTATACTTCATGACACAGACCCACAGCCACACTTGCATCACAACACAGATTGCCTGTCTCTCGCCTCACCTCATGTTCCTACCTGATATCTCTGAGAAGAAGCAACTTCTCAGGGCGGTCGAGAATCGCTAGCAGCGGCCTCACCAAATCTTCCACACCACTTTCCTGGATATACTATGTGGAGGGAAAAACAACTAACATCAGAAATGAAATTAGAGTCTACTGTAGCTGGGAGAACTTCCACTATAGCTGTTAGAACCAGCCCAAAACATCATGCTGCTCAAAGTACAGAGCAAGACAGTATCCTCTAAGTTTTCTGTACAGATGCTGATTTCTGCAGTTGAATCTTACTTCAGTGCCTGGCAAGGAAAATAATTCTCTATGACACACCCGAAGAAGGTAAGTTAGTTGAATTTGGGGGGGGGGGGGGGGGTGAATGAGAGGGTGAAAAGCCAGCAGATTTAGGGGGAATAACTAAAAAGCTGCTATTTCTGCTTCATAGCACCTACCACCCTAGTAGCTGTGGCCAGTAGATTGCGGTACTATTATTCCAACATACCTGGAGTGAAATTGGACTTGAGAAAGCTAATCTAATGGGACAGAATCAATCAGGACATCTCCATAGCATCACCTGGTCATGCCCAGCACTTTTTAATTTTAATTATTACATTTGGCCCTGCCATTGATTTTAATCGCGTCATTGCGTTTTGTTAATGTTATTGTTTTGTTTTTTGAGTTATTATGCTGTTTGTTGTGCTGTTGTTTTACTATTGTATTTGGGCTCGGCCTCTTGTAAGCCACACTGAGTCCTTTGGGAGATAGTAGCGGGGTACAAATATAGGATTATTATTATTATTATTATTATTATTATTATTATTATTATATACATGAAAATTATGAGAAATTTAAAGCAGCAGTTGGCACTCTAGTTCCTAGGCTGCACGGATCACTGAATGTGTTAGGAGTTAATTCCTGAGCAGACATACACATGGTTGTGTTGTTCAGTTACGTGCAGAACTCTTTTATTAGCCAACACAATGTTTTTTTTAATTCCTGATAGAAGAACATAAGGATTTTAATCCATCCCTCTCACGCGCAATCAAATGGTCTTAGTGAAAAGTAACTAGACTCAGGGCTGCTGTGGAGTATCAGCAGTCCTCCCACTGCCCTAGTTTCATCTGTCCTTCAGCAAAACCCTCCCTTTGCTCCCATTCAGGACTAAAAGCTACTGAAAACCAGTCCCCCTTTCCTCATCTGAGAGCATACCCCTTAATGGTGATGTTTAAAGGGCAACCATGTCTTGGTTCATAGCTCCCTCTTGTGGCTACTGTGGGGACACTAAGGGGCAGCATCATTTAATTCTAGGGAAACCTGCAAAAAGCATGCTGATCCAAAACAGCTTGTGGTAAATGTCTGATTTCTTTTCCACACTAAGCCATTTGCATAGGGCAGCTTCAAAATGATAGTATGCAAACTGATCAACACGGTGCTGGAAGGAAGTACACAAATATACATTCTTCCACTGGGCTGGAAGAAAGTATACAAATTAAACTGAGCATAACTGCACAGCTTCACTAGACCAATTTCCAAAGGCATAGCTGTGCTCATGTGTGGCAGCAAGGAAGCAGACAATCCTGTGGCACTTTAAAGGATAAATTATTATACCATGACTTTGTTAGGTATACTTTATTATGTAGCTGATAGAGAACACAGGCCAGCATGATAAAAAATTAGAAAAAAACAGAGTTGGATCAACCCAAGAGTTAGGTTGTGGTGGGGAACCTGTGGCTGTGCAGGCGTTCTGGGACTCCATCATCCCCTCCCATCAGATAGGCAGACAAATGTCAGTGTGCTGGAAGAAGCAAAAGCCACCAGCATTGAAGTGATGCTTTTGCACCATCAACTCAGCTGGACTGACCACATTGTCCGAATGCCCAATCACCATCTCCCAAACCAGTTACTATACTCCCAACTCAAGAACAGGAAACATAATGTTGGTAGGCAGAAAAAGAGATTTAAAGATGGGCTAAAAGCCAACCTTACAAACTGTGGCATAGACACCAAGCACTAAGAAGCCCTGGCCCTTGAACACTCTAGCTGGAGGTCAGCTGTGACCAGCAGTGCTGCACAATTCAAAGAGGCACAAATGGAGGGTGAAAGGGAAAAATGTGTTAAGAGGAAGGCGTGTCAAGCCAACTCTGACCGGGATCGCCTTCCACCTGGAAACTAATGTCCTCACTGTGGGAGAACATGCGGATCAAGAATAGGGCTCCACAGCCACCTACGGATCCATCGCCAAGACACTACACTTGGAGGGCTATCATCCTCAGCCTATGAGGGATTGCCTTAGTAAGTAAGTAAGCATCCCCTCCTTGCGTGACCTATTTATTTATCATTTTTCTTCTCCCAGCGAGGGACTCAAAAGAGTTTTCCTACGTAATTATGACAAAATTAATGCATCACATACAGAAACCTAATATAACGATAATAACATAAAATTATCAATTAAATCATAAAACATGACATCATTTAACAGGTAAAACAGAGAATTAAAAACATATCAATATTAACACTAAAATAACACAAATCCAACAATCGTAGTCCAGGCCGTTCCAAATATCATGATCAGAAATGATAGGAATTTTAGATAGCCAACATTTGGAGCCTGACAGCTTCCCCACATGGTGACCAACCTGACACTGTGGAGGTGAGTAAGCAGGTTTAAACTATGCCCTTGCTGCAGGCAAGTGCAAACTCTGCTGTGGACAGAATGAGGCAACTGAAAACTATAAACCTTGAAGCTGCTGTAAGAAAGGGAGACTTGCAGCTCAAGACCTGCAGGCAGGTTTGAGCATGCTCCTTACCCGAGTGCAGTGCCTCAGCACAGCAGCCACTTCGTCTTCCATCAGCAACTTCTTCGCCATATCCTCGATCAGCAGCAGGTGACTTTCTGTGACTTTGCTGTGCTCGCTGCCATTGTGCTGCGGAGATGACAGCAGAGAGATTTTCGAACCCAGGGGGCTGAACGTGTAGCCTTTTTCTGGGGAGGGACATAAAGAAAGTCACCACACTGAACACTGACTGCATCAAAGAAAAATAACATACATATGTATGTGGAGGGAACATATAGTATTCACCACTCTAGAACTGTCAACCAACGGTGTATGCTCATGCAATAGTAGGTAGAGTGTGGCTCCTGGAAATGTACATGCAATTATTCTGTATCCAAAAGCATCCCTTCTCACAAGAAATCACAAGAAATCCTGTGTAGTAAGAAAGTCAGATTTGGACATGGAATAAGGGATCTGATTCAGATTCTCATTCAGTTTATGAAACAGTGAGAAAGTCAGCATCCTCACTCCCCAGCACCCAAAGACTCTTCTCAACTTACTAAATGTCTCTTATGTTGCCCCACATAGCCATTCCATGGTTTGTGGTGAGCAGGCAGGACTACAGGTGCATATGGCTATATCTCCATAGTCAAATGTGAGCTGAAGACATCAGCACTGAGTTCCCATGGCATTCTCCAGGGATCTTATCACCATATACTAATTTTGCCTTTGGCTATGAGACTGTAGCTGGGTGCTTCTATGATCGTGCCTGCTCACCATGAATCATGGTGTAATATGTTGCCTCGCTCCAAGGTCATTTCAGTAAGTTGTGGGTGGCATATAGCTCGGCCTGGCCTAGGTCTGCATGTGGATATATTACACCAAGCTGAGCAATACAGGATGGCAGCCATTGCCTGGTAAATTATAAACATGGCCTAGTGGCTTTCTCAAAAATCATCACCGAGTATCATGGAATTGTAAGAGTTTACCTGAAATACCTCCACCCCCAACCAGAGGTGGGTAACGGTGCCCCTCAAAATATTATTCAATCTTTCCTCACCATTGGAAATGCTGGTCAGGGCTGATAGGAGATATAGCCAACAAACATCCTGAGGACCATAATTGCCTAACCTTTATTCTGACTTTGCAACCATTCTGGACAAGTGGAAATGCAGCAGATACGAGACCTCATCACACTAGAGAATGAATCCACTTTAAATCTTCTGCAGACTTCTGGGGTTTGTAGTTTAGGAAGAAGCCTTTAAAAGCCTCACTAGACTACAAACCCCAGAATTCTGCAGGAAGCAGAAACTAGATTCATTCTCTAATACATTGAAGTAGAATATTTCTGCCCAGAATGCTGAAAGTTCACAGACAGAAAGGGAATACTCACAGCTCTCACAGGCATGCCCACACCCACACTCTTTTCAAAGTTGACTTCACACCAAACCACACATTGCTGGCAAAGGCCCAGCCTATATTTCAGCTCAGTTACCCCGTTTCAGTGTCCAGCTGACAAACCTCTGTACGACGCTAACTACAGGCAGGGGAAGAAACCAATGAGAAACTAATTAGGAATCTTCAGTAAAAATTAACAAATTTTTAAAAAAATGTTTGTTGTAAACATGATAAAAAAGAATGAACTTTTACCATACCATGTCCTAAAATTAAAATATTTTGGATTATAATTCATAAGAACACTGAAAACATCTTAAAAATGAAAGTGCCACTAGAGACAGAAGCCTTTCTATTGGGACTGACAAACTTCCATTTTTTTCCCCTGATACTCTTTTTATACTAGGTAACTACAGCAAGGATTGTTTATACTTACTATTGGAAACAAGAAGAAATTCCCACCCAAGATTTATAATAATATAAAACTTTATAATAAAACTTTATTTATATACTGCCCTATCTCCCAAGAGGAATCAGGGTGGTTTCCAACATAAGGCAAAACATTCCATTGTCAGAAGGAAAAACCGTACAAACAAATTAAAATAAACATCATAAAACATTTTGTGTTTGCTAAAGCCAACACAAAAATTTTAAATCCAGTTTCATTTAAAATAAAGAAGTTAGTGACAAGAATAACAGGATCTCCAATGATATCCAAGGGATCCTGTAATGTTAATCAACCAGAGATAAGATTTATGACAAAAAGGATAGATTTTTTGATTGTGAACAAAACAGCAGAGACAGGGTAGGAAGCACTAGTTAAAGCTAAAGGTTTTCCCTGGCATTAAGCCTAGTCATATCCAACTCTGGGGGGAAGGGGGGTGGGTGCTCATCTCCATTTCTAAGCCAAAGAGCCAGAAATGTCCACAGACACCTCCAAGGTCATGTGGCTACATGGAGCACTGTTATTTTCCCGCCAAGGCAGTAGCTATTGATCTCACATTTGCATGTTTTCGAACTGCTAGGTTGGCAGAAGCTGGGCCTAACAGAGGAGTTCACCCTGCTCTCCAGATTCGAACCGCTAATCTTTCGATCAGCAAGTTCAGCAGCTCAGCGCTAGTTAAGGCTTTCTATTTTTCATTTCTCAACTTTTTATCTCCTTTGTTTAAAAACACTGTACAGGTACTTTTCTATCCTTTTGTTTTTAGATTAGAAAGGAAATGCCCTCCTTTTTTCTTTCTCTTTTCTTTTTTAGCGTCATAGCAACCTATTCTGTACTAGATAACAATGAAAGAAGGTGAAGATGCAAATGTTAAAAATGCCCTGTTCTATATCCACTCTTGCGCCCTTCCTCATATATTTGCAATAAAAAAAATATATGAAAAAGAAAAAAGAAAAGAAAAGAAGGCATCTTCAATAAAAAGAGGGAAGATGAGAGAAAGTGAAACCATTTGGGATTGTCCTCTGCTCTCTCTGCAGAAGAACCAGAAAGAGGACAATCTGGATCACCTCTCACTTATTTAGGGTAAGCATTTGTATGTGATGGAGATGGAAAGAATGTTAACCATTATTTGTTCCCAGATCAAAAAAAGGACTTCCCAACTGTCAGAAGGAGCAATGGGACTAATGAAGCTTCTGCCAGTAAACAAACAACCCAAAATTTTGTGCAAGAATTATTCTGCAAAGGAATTTTTGCAAACAAAATATCATTTGGGGGCATTTTGGAGTATTGGTTTTGCTCCCTGAGACCCTTGGGATTGCATATGCTCATGGACCACATTTTGCTCACTGCGATACAAGCGGGATATAAATAAAGTTGTTTATTATTATTATTATTATTATTATTATTATTATTATTATTATTCAATACACAACAAGATTAGTACACTACAATCAAGATCACCATGTTGGCTTTTGTATTTGATCACATGTCAGACGTTTCCCAAGTGTCTAGGATCGTGTGATGTATCGGTGAATAATGAATGCAGATCCAAGTAGGGTGGCCTTTTGCAGCTGACAGATAATTTAAGTGCAGGCCAAGGTGTTTAGGCAATGCACCCAGTGTGCCAATCACCACTGGAACCACCTCTACTGGCTTGTGCCAGAGTCTTTACAGTTCAGTCTTTAAATCCTCATATCGTGTAAGCTTTTCCAGTTGCCAATCCTGCTGTCATCTGGATTGCAACATCTATGATGATGATGCTTTCTTTCTCCTACCTTAGGGCCCTTTCATATAGCTCAGAATATCAAGGCAGATAATCCACAATATCTGCTTTGAATTGGATTATCTGAATCCACACAGCCATATAATCCAGTTCAATGTGGATTTTATACAGTTGTATGGAAGGGGCTTGGAAGACACAATTCCCTTTGCCAACAAGACTTGCAAAGCCATACACTCCTGATAGAGAGGGCATAAAATAAAACAGGTTTGATTACCTTTCTCTTCTTCAGGCCGTGCTGGGGACTTGGACCGTCTCACTGTCTCCGGTGATCCAGCTGCTGAACTTGGCTTTCCTGTCTTGGAACTCTTAAAAAACAAGTTCATGAGGGTTTTGGAGCGTTTGAGTGTGGCTTTCTTCTCCAAGGATACTGGCTTCTCTTTCTTTCTCTGCCGTTTCTCCTCTGTGATGAGAATCCAAGAAGTCATAGCAAAAGATCACATCAAAAGCCTTAAAATGAAATCTGGTCCTTTCCCAAGCCCAATGTGATACTAATGGGTTTTCAGCCTCTTATTGGTAATTCCTTGAATCATAGAATCATAGAATCATTGAGTTGGGAGAGACCTCATCCAGTCCAACCCAAAAATCGGGAAAATCACATTCAAAACATCCCCAACAGATGGCCATCCAGCCTCTGTTTAAAAGCCTCCAAAGAAGGAGCCTCCACCATACTCCGGAGCAAAGAGTTCTACTGTTGAACCGTTCTCAAAATTAGGAAGTTCTTCCTAATGTTCAGGTGGAATCTCCTGTCCTGTAGTTTGAAGCCATTGTTTCGCATCCTAGTATCCAGAGGAGGAGAAAACAAGCTTGTTCCCTCCTCCCTATGACTTCCTCTCACATATTTATACATAGCCATCATGTCTCCTCTCAGCCTTCTGGAAGGTACCTATGTTATTGTTCCCTGATTTGGCTTTCTAAAAAGGACTAGCAAGTGGGCAAATAGTGTCAATTCTCTAATTAAAAATAAATGAAACAAAGGAATACAAAATGTAACAGAAATTTACTCCCTCACTGTCATCCTTCCAACAGCAAGCCAATACATTTTAAAAAACAAATAGGCTTCACAATCTCTGAGAATGCCTACCATAGATGCAGGTGAAACGTCAGGAGAGAATGCTTATAGAACATTGTCATACAGCTTGAAAAACCTACAACAACCCAGGGGTGTGAAAACAGGACAATGAAGAAAGCTCAGAAATCAACTTATTTGAAATATAGTGATGGAAAATAGTTCTATAGATACCATGGACTGCCAAAAAAAAAAATAATCAATCAAATGGGTCTTAGAGAAAACCAAGCCCAAATTTTCCCTAGAAGTCAAAATGACCAAACCAAGGCTATTATATTTTGTCCATCTCACGGGACAACATGATTAATTGGAAAAGTCAATAAGGTTTGGTAAACTGGGAGGCAGTAGGAAAAGAGGATGACTGCATGACAGGTGAAAAATCCAATCAAGGAAGACATGGCCCTGATTTTTAGCAGAGTGTTGGTGACAGGATCTTTTAGAGATCTCTCATTCACAGGGTTATGATAAGTCCAAGTAATTTGATAACAATTAACAATAACAAAGTCTTGGGTATGTCAGCCTGAAAAGATAATTAATTGGTTGGAAATGTGTGTATGTGTCTTCAAGTCTTCTCTTGACTTATAGTGACACCATTAATTTCATAGGATTTTCTGAGGCAAGGAATACTCAGGGGTAGTTTTTTCAGATATATAAAGATTCCATAAACTGTAAAGTTAATTTATGGACAACCTTTAGACAGTCTTTAGCATCTGAACACTCATTATCTACAATGATGTAGTAAATCAGCATCCCAAACTGCAGTTTTGATAAGAACCCCACTGGGTAGTCACATGCACAACCAAAGGTTCTGTCATTCAAACTGCTCTTCATAACTTCCAAAGTAAAATACAGGAATCACAATTGATGTGTAATTGAAGAAGGAAGAGATGGAGATCTCAGCACCTACCATAGATGGTCAGATAGCTCTGTGATCTCTTGATGGGCTGTCTTGGGCGGCTGAGTGCCAGAAGAAGTGCCGTTTTTGGGGAGGGGTCTGTCATCTCTTTGCCAGAAAGGGGCCGGTGCTTCCTTAGGTGGAAGGGATCCTTGGCGCTCTCGGTGCGTATGGCTGTGTCCTTTAGGATTTCCATGGGTCGTACAATCCGCCGGGTCTCAGTTACCAGGCTCCCCGAAAGAGAAGCCCCATCAGGCAGTGGGTCCGTCTGCATGGCCGTCTCAGCCCTCTCTGAAGAGTGGCTCCGGACTGGCAATTCAGTGGAAATGCCAACATCCACCATGCTATTTTGAACTGAGTTGGATACTGGGGACATGAAGAGGCCATTGATAGAGGTGAAGGGGGTTCCTGAGGAGTAGGATGACACAGAGGAGCTGGACTCGGAGGTCTGGGACAGCTGTTGCAACTGGCCATTGGTCACTGCACCAAGAGTGAGAAAGAAGAAAATGAACATGTAGAAAATCTTTCCACTCAGACCATCAATATCAGCACAGATATTAATAACAATGCACAGATATTATGAATGTGAGCAGGTTGTGTTTTTTGTAAACCTCCCAAGAAACTCCAACATGGGCATTCTGGGTGTTGTAGTTAAAAATTAACTTTTACCAGCTGTTCTGTTGTTGTATATTATACAAATGATTCCCCTATGCTCTTCTTTTGCTGTGGTACCATTTCATTTTCCCAGCACTGAATGTACCATATTCTGTAAATGTGAAAAAACTGATTGTTTCCTTATATCATGCATGGGGAATCTTTCACTCTGCAAATATTTTGGTCTACAATTTCCATTAGCCCTAACCAGCATGGTCAATGATAAGTGAGTGTGGAAGTTGTGGACCAAAACTTTTGAAAAGGCAAAGGTTTCTCTGCCTGTTCTAGACAGAAATCTTTGCTGTTGCCATTCCTGGGTTTATTGAGACTGCATATGCAGTCTCAATAAACCCAGTAACAGTGAGTAACAGTGAGCACATTATCTGAAACTTATTTTTTTAATTCTATATTCTGGATTATTATTTTGTTGTTTTATCTATTAGACATAACTGCAACTCTGAATGCCCAACATAGTGCCTTCCTCACCATGATTTTGTGGACTTAACAGTGATTTGATCAGTAGGTGAATTCACATCAGCTTATAGAGATGGATTTCTTCTTTTATTTATATGTATAACTCTAGTACAGGAAAAAAACCCCTTTTCCATTAGACTCCCTCCTCCATCCCCATGTGTAATACACTCTCAGCCATGCGCTACTGCAAATATGCCATTAAAAGATGCACACGCTAGTGAAAGCGATATGGTGACACTTGTCTCTTACTCTTATAGTAGGATCTGGAACTGCTTTAAAAAGCAGACTGATGCATTTAGGATCACAGAAAGAAGCCTTTTTTCATGAAGTGCATAGTTCCACTATAGAGTTTTCTATTACAAAAAAGGTTGCTATCTTGGCCATCTTTAAAAGGGTGATGTGACAAATTCATGAAATTTATTTATTTATTTACCATATTTATATCCCACCCTTCTTACCCCAAGGGGGAGTATATAAATATAATGTTATCGGTCATTACATGACAGCTGTATATCTTCAGTATCAAAAGCAGCATGCCATTGAGTAATGCATCACAGGACACATGTGTGGAAGAATGCTGTTCAGTTCTGTATTGACTGTAGTCTTCCTATAGTGATGTGAAGGCTGCTGAGGAACAGAATGCTGGACCACATAAGCTTATGTTTTAATTTAGTATGATTATTTTTATATGCGCCCAGAGTTATTTGAGAATTTAAGTTCCATCAATATGCCTCTGTGCAACATAACATTTAATCTTGGACTGCAGTGTGCGTGTGTGTGTGTGTGTGTGTGTGTGTATGTGTGTGTGTGTGTGTGTGGTGCTATTTTCTGAAGGTGACATCCTTTATGCAACACTGAAAGGCATGTGTGAGAAAGCTAACAGCTGTATTTTCCTAAATGCAAAGAGGGTAAGTATTGTAAATACTTACATACACGTTTAGAAAATTTAGTCAAAAATTGACTCAAAAAACCCTGGGTGATCTTATCCATGAATAAATGTAAGTACTTTACCTACAATTTTAAAAATAAAAACCAATTCTCAGCAGAGTGTCAAAAGGTGAGAACTTAATTCATCCTGGGAAAATCTGAAAGAATCACCAATCCCTTCCAATCTCTCTGCTATGGCACTGCTTTTTTTGCTGCTGCTACTTCCCCCTCTTTGTGGAATGATCCTTGACTTACACATGGGCCATAACAAAATCCATAACTTTGGCACCAAAGACTGATTTATACATGATGACTATATATTTAGTTTGCTTGCAGAAGCATCTTTGGATACTCGTGACTGTTTCTTAGCAAAGCAATGATCAATGATATCATCACACATGGAAGAAGTTGCACTCATGTCTTACTTCTGTTGAGCCAGCAATACTCAGCCACCATTTCCTTGTAAGCCGGGAACCTCCCTGTCCCCTAGATGGAAGGGACAGAAGAGACACAAGAAGTCATAAGATCAGTTGCTGCCTGCCCAGTCTTCAGAGTCTAATCTCATCTCAGGCGGAGAGACACCTTCATAAATAATGCATTCCCCACCGCCAGGTCCCTTCCCAGCTGAAACCGTATCGTCTACGTCTCAGGAGTCTGGGTCTCAAGGCATCTTGGGGAAAGAAATTACTGAGCATTACAATGATGAGAAAAAGGGGATTTTAATACTATTACTTTGGCAAACAATGTGTTAGGAACCTTAGTTTTGCATGGTACGCTGTCAGCACAATCAGAACTGAGCACAAGGTGGGTGTGCCTTCTGCTTCTTGCAGGAAAGTTGAAACTTTAAACATCAAAATGTCAATCTCAGGAATGAGGCTTATAACAACAACAACAACACAACTTTATTTATGTCCCACCACCATCTCGCTGAAGGGACTAAGGGCAGGGGGCCACCACCAGAAAGGCCCTCTCTCTCGTCCCAATTAGCCATGATTGACACAGAGGTAGAACCGAGAGGATGCCCTCCCCAGCAAATCTTAGAGCTTACACCGGTTCATAGGAGGAGATGTGGTCTCAAAGATAGGTTAGACCCAAAGTGTATATGTGTATAATGCTGTGGGGATTCAGGGAATTATAGTCCAAAAATGTTTGTTTTAGCCTCCTCAAACATTGCTTTCTCATGCCACACTGTCTGGCTCTATGCAGCCATCAGAAAGAAGGGTTCCAACCTGGTATAAATGAAGGACATCCATACCAAGACTGATGGTATGAACTTTAGTGAGACATTGAAAAGTTCCAGGAATCCACATACTGGTGCTTTTCATGGCACGGAAGCCCAAATAAGGTGACAATCATGTTATCCTCCAGATGTTTGTTGGATTGCAAGGGCCACTAGAGAAGAATGATGAGAATTGCAGCCTGACGATATTTGAAGGTATAAATGTATCCCAACCTAAATGCAATTTGTATGGGTCCATTGAATGAATAGAATTACATAGATGTTGACATACTGCATTCATGTTGATTCAATGGATTTGCTCAAATTGGGACTAACAATTGGATCAGTTTTCAATCATGACAAGATCATTGCATCATCTTCTGTCTGGGTAGCAACCCTTTTGTCCTGCCCTTGACAAGGCACACAATGGTTCACCTTGATGGTCAGCATGATGTGGGTTTGCCCCTTTAGCACTTCCACTGCCTTGCTATGGCTGATGTCATCAAACTTGACTCCGTTGGCTGCAAGGACTTGGTCGCCGACCTTGATCCCATGTTTCTCAGCCAGCCCACCAGGATCCACTCTGGAAATGATGCAAAGTAGGAATTATTCCCCAACTGGAACAGTGGAGTCTTGGCAGAGAAATTGCCTGTAGAAGCCAAGATGTGGTATATCTTTTTGTATATAGGAGAGAGAATATCAGAGTGTTGCAAGGATAGTTCCTTCTCCAGCAAAACCTTTGTGAAATGCAAGTACCTTGATGTTTGTCCCTTGTTAACAGTTTTGCCCATGGTTTTCAAAGCTGTCTGAAACAACAAAGTTCTACAGAAAGAAGTCAAGCACTACAGCAGCCTTCTGAAATCTGGTGCCCCTCAGATGTTTTGGACTATAACTCCCAGCATCCCTAGCCATTAGTACCAGAATGAGATGGGTAAAGTGTGGCCCTGATGCTGCATGTGCTCCCTCAAGACTGCTTTAGTGGATTTCAACTTGTCCAAGACTTCCCAATATTTAATGCTGCCTTTTGTATATTTTTAGGTGTACATTACTTCTTTTAAAATGTAAGCCACCTTGAGTCCCAATGTTGGGAAAATGTTGCATTATGGGACCTATAGTAAAATGGGGGCCACTGTGCAAGCAGAGCCAACAGCATACTTTTGTGCAATATGCTGCTGGCTCTGCTTGCACAGTGGCCACAGTGATGTAGCTACGTCTCCTTATTCCTCTGAGGAATACAAATGTTGCACAAGAGCACAAGTAAGTTTCCAACAGAATTTCAACCCACATATTCAACTTGATAGTATTTTGGCCTTCACTGTGATCTAGATTAAACTGTCCTGAACCCACACTCACTCTAGGATCTTGAGCTGGATTTTGATCCCTGCACTAGCTAGTTGTGGATGAAACATTTTCCCGCAAAGGCAAACTATATGACTAACATGATGTGTGGTTGATCCTGTATGTTCAGCTGATCTTATGGTCTAAAACAGATAAGAGCGGGAAACTTCAGGCTAATTAAAACGTACTTGGAGACGTAAATGCCAAGCCCATATTCCTTTCCCCCACGGATGTTGAAACCCAAACAGTAGTCATCCGATGTGGTATAGAGGTGGACAATTCTCCGTCTTCCAAACTCAGAGCTGGTATCTGATGGAGTTGTGCTGCTTCTTTCCACAATCAAGCGCCGGTTGACCACATCAACCCTAGGTAAAATTAAGGATTCACTCAGGATTTCAGATTTTGAGGGTGACTGTAAACTGACTTTCCACTTTCCACTTCACCATGCTCAGGAGGATAAAAATGCAGAGGCTGTCCTCTCCTGGGCTGAACTGCACAAACTATCACTTATTCATGACAGTAAGCTCCCACCATCCTAGAACAGTGGGAGATAGCACCAAGGATACAACTCATACCTCCTATTTGTGAGTGACACCATCGTGCAGCAATGCACTAAATCAGTGGGACCACCAATACCAAACACACCGCACCCACCAATAGTATGCCAACTGCTCCCAATTTGCTCCAATTTAAATGAAGATTTGATTTCAGAAAGGCAGATTGGACTATATTCTCAGACATGTTAGATGACAAAATCAGATCGGTCGCCCCAATCCCCGAGGAATATGAGCACTTTATTGAAATGGTAAAAATTCGCTCACGGGCCTCTATACTGAGAAACTGCAGAACACGCAACCTTCGGGGCATTACTCCTGAAACAGTTGCCATTTTGGAAGACTATTACAGTCTCCACAACGAAGAGAGCAAACTCTTCAGGCAGCGCAGAGCATCTGGTCCTCCATCTCTGAAGCCAAGAAACAACAGTGGATAAAGTGATAACAGAAGTCGACACAGAGCATCAAAAGGTGTGGAGACTGCGAAGATGATTGAGCAATGATCCCTCACAAACTAATACTCATGCCAACATAAAGGCAAGTCAGATAGCACAACAGCTTCTGAAGAATGGGAAACCCAACCTTGCCACCAAAATAGGAAGGAAACCTAGAGTCAGACAACCAGAAAAAGAGAACAACAACCTTCATGAACCTTTTACATGTACTGAATTGGACATGGCCTTCAATAAATGCAAAAATGACAAAGCAGCTGGCCTGGATGATCTATGGATGGAACAAATTAAGAACTTTGGCCCAAAAGCAAGGTGTTGGCTGCTGAAACTGATGAACAACTGCACTGCATCCTGTCTGATCCCCAAAATCTGGAGGAAAGCAAGAGTCATAGCCATCTTGAAATCAGGCAAAGGCCGCAATGATCCAAAAAGCTATAGACCAATCTCCTTGCTGTGAAATCTTTACAAAATTCTGAAGAGACTTATTATGCAGAGAATCATGGAAAAGATGGACCCATTTATGATCCCACAGCAAGCTGGCTTCAGGAAAAGCAAAAGGTGTAGAACCTGACTCAGCACATAGATGACAGTTTTGAAAGGGTGCAGATTACAGGAGCTGTCTTCATAGTCCTGTCAGCAGCCTATGACACTGTAAATCATAACCTCCTGAGGAAAACCTATAATATCACAAAGGACTACCACCTAACCCTCTTCATGGGAAATTTGCTACAAAACAGGAGCTTTTTTGTTGAGTTCCAGGGCCAAAGAAGCAGATAGCGAAAACAGAAGAACAGCCTGTCTCAGGAGAGTGTGCTTTCTCTATCAATGTTCAACATTTACACAAATGATCAGCTACTGCCAGAAGGGATAGAGAGTTTCATCTATGCTGATGATCATTCCATCACTGCTCAAGCAGGGAGCTTTGAGATGGTTGAAGTGAAGCTCTCCAAAGCTTTAGGTACTCTTATTGCCTATTGCAGGCAAAACCAGATGATTCCTAATCCATCTAAAACACAGACATGTGCTTTTCATCTGAAGAACAGACAAGTACCTCGAGCTCTGAGGATTACCTGGAAAGGAATCCCACTGGAGCATTTCAGCACACCCAAATACCTGGGAGTTACCCTGGACCAATCTCTGACCTACAAGAATCACTGCCTGAATACCAAGCAAAAAGTGGGTGCTAGAAACAATATCATATAAAATGTAATATTGTTGGCACAACCTGGGGATCACAACCAGACACAGTGAAGACATATCTGCCCTTGCGCTTTGCTACTCTGCTGCTCAATATGCATGTCTGCCCAGTGTGGAAGACATCTCACATATCTGCCCTTTCACTTTGCTACTCAGCTAAAACAGTGAATGGCTCTTAATGGGACATGCCACATTATCACAGGTTGTTAGCGCCCTACACCACTGGAGAAATTACACTGTCTAGCCAGTATTGCACCACCTGACATCCGCTGGGAAGTAGCAGCCAATAATGAAAGGATCAAGGCAGTGACATCTCAGGCCTATTCGCTCCTGAGATGATTAATAATAATAATAACAATAATAATAACAACAACAACATCAACAATAACAATAACAATTTTTATTTTTAAATAAGCCTTCAGCCTCACCTATGAACATTAGATAAACCCAGGGTGGTGGAACATTGATAACCATGTTTTGTAGTCTTAGCCCTGCAAAAGAGCTCACTATGAACCTGGACTCACACATGGGAGATCACTTGGGACCCCCTATGTATGCCACCATGAAGGAAGAAAGTTAAAATATTCATAAACTAAAACCCAAATTAACATTTGATGAACTCTGGTGAAGAACTCTGAGTACTCAAAAGCTTTGCATTTTTATTGAATTTGCAGTTTAATATTTGTTTTATTTTTTCTTTATGAATTGCTACAGCCTCCTTATTTTTGGAGTGCATGTATTAAAACAGTTCTGCACAGCCTTGGCTAGATCCCTTTAGATCTTCTTCTTCTATTTCTTTTGTCCAGTCAGATTCTTCCTGGCACTTATTACTATCCATTTCCAATCTTACATTATGTACACAACCCCATCCCGCAACACCAAAGTTCTCCTATGAATTAAACTCAGGTGAGAGAATTTAGCCCAGTAACCCCATGTCACCCTGACCCCTCGCTCTCCTGTTCCCTGGTTAGAGTTCATGTCAATACCATCACCTTGTCTCTCATGAAACCTGATCATTCTGTCTCTGCTCTGTTGAATCCAGTATACCTTGCCCCCCTCCTCCCAACAACACATTGTGATTTTTGGTTACCCAAGGCCTGCTAACAAAAGGGTGTCACCCTAGTAGGCAGTTCCGCTTACCATGTGGTCTTTTCTCTGGAGAACTTTATCCCTGGCACTTTGCCCATGCGTCTCACGACCATCCGCAGCCGGTTATTCCCCGTTAGGACTTTGACTGCACTTCCCATTGTAATGTTCTCCAAGCTCACACTGTTCACCTCTGTGATTTTATCTCCCACGCACAGACCAGCCTGCTCTGTTGGTGTTAAATACAGATAGCTCAGATTGGTTTAGGGACTGAGACATTTTTCTTTTCCCTACTCTTCCTTTAAAAAATACAACATTAGTAAAATTAAATAATGTTGTTTTAAGCATGCTTAATGTTTACTGGCATATTTTGCATTTATTATTAATACAGACTCAGGCTTATTAGCTGGATAGTACATTATTTGCATCTATACCGCAAAGAATAGTTGGGGTAGGAAACAAATTAACATAGTTAACATATGTTTTGGGGTTATTCCTCAAATGTGTCCATTTATTTATTTATAAGACTACTCAAGTACAATATAACACCCATATCTGCAAAACTGGTGTCTACGCTATAATTTATCCATATCCAACAAAATGTATCCTCTCTTAGCATTTTCTAGCTCCTCCAAACTCTTTGGTATTTTGGGGCCAGAATTCATTTCAAGTAGGATTCATTATTATCCAGTTACATGTATATATTAGGGCTGGGCGGTTTCGTTTCGTTAATTCGTAATTCGTTAAATATTCGTTATTTTTTGTTAACGAAGCGATAACGAACCATTCTGGAGCAACTTAAAAACGAAACGAATTTTTCAATTCGTTTCGTAAATGCTTCGTATTTCGTTATGTATTCGTTTAGTTATTGGTTTGAGGTCGTTTCGTTATTATTTCCGCATGTCTGGGGCAAGTTTTATAGTTGTTTTTTGTTTAATTAGTGAAAAAAAATTATAATATCACACCAACAGTCAACAACAGAGGGAGAGGGAAGCTTCAGAAGTTTTTTTAGCGTATTGCGCGATCGCGGCCGCCATTAACGAATCGATTCGTTATTGTTTCGTTATTGTTTTGTAATTTTTTTACCATTTACGAAATTTCATAAATATCGAACTTTTTTAAAGGAAAATTTCGGAATTCTTTTAAATATCGAAACGCAAAAAAACCCAAAAAACGAATCGATTTTAGAAACAATTTTTTCCGTTGTTACCCAGGCCTAGTATATATCCAAAGTCCAGAAAATATTCCCTGCAGACACAGGGTTGGTATTGTACTTTGTAATGATTTCTTCACATGTTTAAAATACTACCTCTTGACTAGAGCATTATCTAGCTGTATGGAAGATTCCTTGTCAATAAGAAGGCTGAGAGGGGACATGATAACCATATGTAACTACTAGAAAGTACGTCATATTGAAGATGACACCAGCTTGTTTTCTGTTGATCCAAAGACAAGGATACAGAGCAATGGATTCAAATTGCAGAAATAATGACACTACGTAAACTTTGGAAAGAGCTTCCAGATGGTAAGAGCTGTTCAGCAATGGACTATGCTGCCTCACATGGTGGTGGAGTCTTCTTCTCTGGTCATCTGTCAGGGGTGCTTTGACGGTGTGTTCCTGGGTGGCCCTTGTAGACTCTCCTAACTCTATGATTTTATGTGTTTGTGGTGGAATATTTTACAGACAGAGTTGCAGATATATTGAAGAAACATGGCACACATACAAAAATATACCAAAGAGAGAGAGCAAAAGTTGAGAGTCTGCATCAGACATATAGCTAGCTATGAGATCATGGCTACACTCTGTTTTCAGATATGACCCCCCCTACCCCCTAAGCCCACTTTAAAATCCAAGCAGCTGTAGTGAGTAAAGGACTCATATAGTGCTGGTAAGTTGTGGCCCATCCATTGTGTGGTAGTATTGGACAGGACTCCACAGGACTTCATATTTCAGTTAATTACATGACAGCTCACTGGTAGGAGTGAGTTGAACGACTCATTCACACACCAGTCCTGACATGGTTACTATACCATGGGTAATATTTTGTCTATTCATACCAGTGGCTTTAAAATAAAGTTATGGATTGACACCTAGAAATGATAATCACCTTGCCACTGATGAGTCAGGCTGAGAAGTGAAAAGCTTTTGCTTACCTGCACTGCTTCCCTCTTCTACCTTGCTGACAAAGATACCCAGGCCATGTTCTGAGCCTCCGCGCACACTGAAACCCAGCTTCCCATCTGCGCTCTTTTCCACAGTAATGGCATTGATGGCGTCACTCTCATCACTCTTAGCTATAATGACAATAAAACATGATTTATAACTATGAATGGGTACTCCTAATAACATGTTCTGTGCCACAATAGCCAGCAAAAGGAAATACCCAATGGACCCCTGTCAATCACAGCAGTTGCTTACTGGTAAATGGAATAAATGCTGTCTTGAATCCATGGGACACTATCATCTGACTGCAGTCTCAAAAATGACATCTTACAACACATGACATAAAGTAATCTGATAGTTGAGATTCTAGAGAAATAATGTAGGACAATGAACACAAGGAATTCATTTCCTCCTATTCATAGTGGGAGCGAGCCTAAGCATTAAGAATTTTCCAGATCCTGTTTGATCCTGTAAACTAAGCAGAGTCAGGCCTAGTAAGTATTTGGCAGAGAGACCATCAGCAAGTGCCAGGTGCTGTAAACTATATTTTAGAGGAAGGAAATGGCAAATCATTATTTCTCAGTCAATCTGCCCAAGAAAGTCCTATGATAGGGTTGTCATAAATTGGAGCTGATTTAGAACTTCATCAGATGGTTTTCCCCTGACATTAAGTCCAGTCGTGTCCATTTCTAAGCCAAAGAGTCAGTGTTGTCCATAGACACCTCCGATGTCATGTGGCTGGCATGATTGCATGGAGAGTCATTACCTTCCTTGCAGAGTGGTACCACTTGATCTACTCACATTAGCATGTTTTCAAACTCCTAGGTTGGCAGAAGCCGGGGCTAACAGAGGGAGCTCACGTCGCTCCCCGAATTCGAACCGATGACCTCTCGGTCATCAAGTTAGGCAGCTCAGTGGTTTAACCCACTGCACCACTGGGAGCTCCTTAATGGTTTAGATATAATGATTTAAAACAACAAAAAGAAGATAAAGGCAAATTTCTTACATTCACAGAAATTTTAAAAGTCATTTTCAGTGAATATAACATGACTAGGAAATGTGTATGCTCTTTAATACCTTGTGTCATAATTTCTAGCAAACACTTCCAGGCTGAAATTCCTTTTACTCTCCTAATTCTATGGTCTGCATAACTACAAAGAAGTTTCTTTGTTAAAACTACATCCACCAGTATCCACAGATTGCATGGTTCTGGCTGAGGGATTGTTGGCATGGTAGCCTTTAAAAAGAAATGTTTCAAGGCTTTCTTTGTCTGAGAGCCATAAGGAGTGTTTCAAAATAGCCTTTATCCCTTTCCATAGGACTCTCCTTGTGTCATCGCCTTTCTTTGCACCAAAAACTTCTAAATGCCTATCAAAAGAATCTATTCTGAAATGTCGAATGGGAATGGTTCCTTGCTGAAGCGATACAGTTTACAAAGGCACAAAGCCAAGGACTGTAATGTTTTTGGCTCACTGTACTTTGTTGTTTGATGTATTGAAATGTCAGCATTGCAGGGCGATATGGTATGTTTCACGGAGGAGAAAATTAACTCTGGTGTCACAACTCTTTCATCCTAAGAGTCAACAAATAGTCCTTCAAGAAAAGAAATAGGGAAGCACTGTATGTGAAACATTGCCTATGTCTTCACAGCCAAATAATGGAGCCAATCCTCTTTCCTTCCTTCAGATATGTGACGGGTAAACATTACAGCTGCTAAATCCACTGGCAGACATAGAACAACCTGGGCTCATATGCAGGAGATAGATTCAAAAGTCGTAGCTAAGCCAGTCAACAGAAGAAGGAAGCCCAAAACTGATGGCATATTACTTAGGCCTGTGTTCTCAGGGACAAACGCATGGTTAGAACCCACACATGTTGTTTCCCTTAAAATCTATATAAATAAGAATGTAATGTTCATTTGTGGGATTTACATAACTCAAAAACTGCTGGATGAATTGACACCAAATTTGGACACAATACACCTATCAGGTCAATGAGTGACCATCACTCATAAAAAAACTGGAAAACACAGCAGAAGAGACTTAAAAAGCCAAAAAATAACAAAATACATTACAATGCATGCGCATAACCACATATATACATATACACAAATATATAAACACACACACACACAACACATATACACAGATTGGGCCACAGCAATGCTTGTCAGGGGATGGCTAGTTCATAATAAATTGGGTGTTGATTTATAATAGGATTACAGCACATAGACAATGGAACTTTTTTCATCCTCCCTAGTTGCAATTTTGATGAAAATTATCCCCTCTGACCTGGTGTAGTAATTATAATTTGTGGGGAAACACCTCATATTGATGCCCATGGAAGAATGTTTCCTGAAGACAATTGTTCTGTATTGAGAAGAAGAATGTTTGTTGGAAGTCTTTCTGGGAAAGGAGAAACTGAACTTCCCCACCCTCCATGAAATCCTGGGATGCAGCCTAATTGCACAATGATAACAGTATGATCCAAAATGAATCACCATGGCTTATCTTTATGGATTGCTGGGAGTTGTAGTTTGGAGACAGACATAGAATTCTCCTCCAGAACATTGGAGTTTAGAGAGGTGGGGTGGAGTAGAGATCTTTGAATCCCTAATGAAGCTGCAAATTCCACAATTCTACAGTATAGAGTTATTACAGTCAAAATGGTATCAACCAGTCTTGTGCATTTGGGGTAAACCTTGATCCATTTCATGTCCCAGCTTTTGGTGGGGGCACCAATATGTTTTTACCGAGCTTCCCGAAATTAGGAGGGCTCCCTGGCAGGGGCTAAAAACCCATTGCATTTGCTGGCAGCCTTGCTCCACAACCATGCAGGCCCAGAAAGGCACTGGCAGGTGTGGGTGCTTTCTAGGTCTGCATGCCACACATGCACTCTCTTTTCAAGAAGAGTGCATGTGTAGTGTGAAAACCCAAAGCGCCCATGCCTGCCAGGCCTGCAGCCGAGCACTGAGTAAGAGGCACTCGACTRCAAGCCTTGGCAGKSATGGGYGCTTTTGGGCYTGCAYKCCAMRSASASWSTSTSYKTGGMRTGCARGCCCAAAAGCRCCCATSMCTGCCAAGGCTTGYAGTCGAGTGCCTCTTACTCAGTGCTCGGCTGCAGGCCTGGCAGGCATGGGCGCTTTGGGTTTTCACACTACACATGCACTCTTCTTGAAAAGAGAGTGCATGTGTGGCATGCAGACCTAGAAAGCACCCACACCTGCCAGTGCCTTTCTGGCCCTGCATGGCTGTGGAGCAAGGCTGCCAGCAAACGTGATGGAAATTGTGGTGGAGCTGGATAATTTTCACCCTGAGCAAAATCCCTCTTCTCTCCTCTATAACCATGATACTGAAAAGTAGGCTTGGAGCTGGTGCCTGCTCCTGCCTGCTTTCGTGTTGAGTTTATGTTCGTACCGGAAGGGGCCTTCCCATTCCGTGCCTCCAAATGAACGGAATAAATGATGAAACAGGAGAAAAGGATTCCGGGCACATGACTAGTATTAACCTTCTATAGCTGTGCAGTGAAAGTCAGATTTCTTCCTCCCCTCCTAACTTGGGGTGAATTTTTTAAAGACAGCTGCAATTACTTAGTTCTCAATTAAAATAATGCCACATTATGAAGAGTGTTGTGGCCCAGCAGAGTCTGGAAAGTCAAATAATTACAAAGACACACTGAAGCCTGAGCAGTGACAGATAATGTTGTGAAATCCAGAACATTGTTTAATGACTGCTCAATTACAATTATCTTCAGTACACCATTGTAATTATTTCTCTTAAAAGTGACTTCTCAACCTCTGAGCCTCAAGCACCAAATGTTGTACCTTCAAGTGGTGTATTGATGAGGATCACTCTTCCCATGGGCGATGCAGTGCGGAAGCCTCGGTGGTTCCCATTCATTAGCCGGTTCTGCCGGCTCAATAGGAGGTGGTTAGCAGTGCTGACGTTGCTGCTGGAGCTCCGAGAGTGACTGGGAAAAACAATATCCCCATGGAATGAATCCGGTGCCTGTGCCATGGCAAGTCTGGATGCTGCGTGTTCATGAAGAGAGATACCTTCACAGGTGATGCCTATGAGTGGCTTGGAGGAGAACTCTGGATTCTAGGAAGTGGAGACATCTGAAGCCTGTGGTAGTTTGCTGCATTTTGGCCCCTTAGGTTGCTTCCCACCAGTGGAAACAGTTGTGGGCCATATTTCAGTGGATCATAGTATTACTTCATGCTGTCCCATTTTGTTGATGATGTTAAACACTGAAGTGTCTCCTTAAGGAGGGAAAGCCGCAGTTATTATAATATGGAATCCAGTGGAAACATCTTGCTTCTCAAGGGTTCAGATCAATGCTCCTTCTCTTTCTTCCAGATTTGATCTGCTATGTTAAAAAACAACAATGGTGACAATGGGAATTGACAACAATAACAAACATCCCTATCAAATTAGAGCCCAGCACTTTCAATCAAGTCCTTCCAGACAGGTCCAAAATGTAGGACCTATCATGGTTTTATTTGAGACAGCCAAATGATGCCTAAGATAAAACCACATTAATCCAGAGAAAACTGGGATATCCCAGGTTACTCCGGATTAATTTGACACCTGGAACAAGTTGGACTTTAAGCTAAGATCTGGATTTTTGCTGGTGAGGGCCCTGTGAGGACTGACTCCTGGGACTGCTTCCACAGTCCCTGTGTGCCCTCCTTCTCTCCCCAATCATATGGTGGGGATGGGACAAGGTGTGTTGGCACCCTGTCTCTGTCCCCATCATATGGGTAAAAGGGCGTATGGTGAAAAGCTACACTTTCATCTCCATCGTGGAGGAGGAAGCGTCTTGTGATGCTTCCACTCCACTCCGCCAAGCCAGAGTGGTCTGATGGCACTCAGCAGACCCCATTTAAAAATAAGAAAAAAGGGCACAAAAAGCCCCATGTGAAGAGGTTCTTCATTCATGTTTGAGACCTACAGAAGAGAAAAGTCTTCTGTCTATGCCGAGTCAAAGCAGGCATATTAAAAGAGGAGGTGATATCTGTAGCACACAGGCTACAAACGCACCCATGCCAAAAAATCTTTTTGTCCAAAATATTTCCCATTGTTTCTGAAAGTAAGCAAGAGGAGTGTTTTTTAAAAATAATGTTCACCAATGTAATTAAAGCCCAAAGAAGAGTTCCTGCCATTTCCTGCTTTTATGTTATTTCAAATATAAAGTCTAATATAGATGATACAAGAAGCCTGTGAAGATTGGCAGATGGGATTGGGAAATTTCTGCAGCTAGGGTTTATGGGACAAATTTAAAGCTAACATTCACTGTGTTAATAGTGTATAAATGTGAATAACTGGTGCAAAAATGAAAACAAATAATTTGACTAACAAGAGTCTAAAACTTCTGAAGCAACCCAAATTGAATTTGGATTTCATAGGATATAATAATAGGAATAATAATAATAATTACTACTATTATTATTTGTACCCCACTTTTCTCCCAGTCATTAGATACAATCTCAGCTTGGACCTGAACCATATATAGGCCTTGAACCAGGTGTCAATCACAAATCACACGGAGTATGGTCAGAGATGGTAAAAGTTACTTTGCTGGACTACAGCTTGCAGCATGGCCAGTGATAATTTTGGCTGACGGATTCTAGAAGCTGCAATCCAAAAACTAACTTTTCCAGATATGTTTGCCTCCACTGTAGCTCAGTTTCTCATAACGGAATCTCATAGAAGAAAATGTGTGAGCTGATCATTCAAATTTGAATGCCTTGATTTACTTTCTGTTCTAAATGCTATCACAAAGTACCATGACAGCTATTCTTGGCTTTTGTCTTAGTGCCATATAAATAAATAATCATGTGCTTCTACTTATAGGGTGACTGTACTGTTTAATCCTATGTGCAGGTGGAAAACCATGAGGCTGGTGTCTCCCTGGGTGTGCATGTGTGCATAAGAATCAATTTGAAACAAGCCTTGGGTATAACAGCACATCCTTGACTGTGAAAATGAAACCATAGCTAAAAATAAACCCTGCATTAATATTCTAAAGCACATTTTTTCCATTTACAAAAGTGAGAAAAAGCAATAAAAAGATTTTATGACTATAGAAATATCAACATATCCAATACCACCACCTGCACAGTGTTTGCTGAGTTCCCTCTTTGAAGCTATTTCATATTAATTTAGTAGTCCCAGAGCTGAGATGTTTTGTATTTATGATCTTAAGGTATATGGTCAGTAAATTCATTTTCTCACAGCTAAAAATAAACCTTTTTCCAGTAGTTGAAAAGATGGGCAGAGACATCCAATGTGGGACAACTATTTCGCTCCATGGATGTTATATAGAATGAAAACAAAATTTTAAAACTGTGAATTTAAAAATAATAATAATAATTATATGGCAAAATAAAAAAGTTTAAAATGCATCAGATTGCTTTTCGCGTTCATACTGTCATTATGTATAAGGGATTTAAGTTTAAAATACTTTAAAATACATTTAAAAAATTTATCGATACGAGTTAAAGAAAACTATTACAAGTTAATATGGAAGTGGTACTTGACACCGGTAAGAATAGCATATATGAATAAAAATAACTCAATAAATTGTTGGAGAGGGTGTCAAGAACCAGGAACATATATACATATGTGGTGGCAATGTAAATATGTAAATAATTTTTGGGAGAAAGTATTTAGAGAAATAGAAACTATAATGAATATAAAAATAGATAAAAGTCCTAGTATAGCCTTACTATCATTATATAACAATAAGCAATTGAAAAAGGAGGATAAAGAAGCGATAACAAACTTACTAACTATAGCAAGACTGCTTATAGCAAGGAATTGGAAAAAAGAAATGAATATACAAATAGAGGAGTGGTATAAGGAAGCATGGAAAATAGCAATAAATGATAAATTGACATTATATTAAAGGTTAAAAAAGGTATATGGAAACAAAGCGATTTTGATGCTGTATGGGGAAGATTTGTGGTAAATGGAATAAAAAATAAGGAAGGAAAATTACCGTCACAAGAAGAAATGAAATTTTGGACAGATGAAATGTAAGAATGGTGGCTTGAGACGGGTGGAGGGGAGCACTGTGGTGAAAAAAGGAAAAAAAGAGAAAAGGGGGGGGGGGAATGTCAAAGCAAAACAACTAAACAACATGTTAAAGAGGCTGATGTACAAAATGCAATAGTATGTAATAAATGTGGTAAATCAATAAAAAATTATTAAAAAAAATACTTGTTGTATTCAGTCATATATTTCTATAGGTTTATGGCACCACATCTTTCTGGTTGAGGAATGACAGGATCAGAGCTTGGAAATGATTACCACTTTGGACCATAGATAGCAGCACCTGTAGTCCACATTCCCAGTAACAATTCCGGGTTATGAACAAGATAGATTATGTAGGTCATTTTTAGACTGAATTTATTTGTTAGTTGGAAAAAGTGTGTTTTTTAGTGTAACTCCAGCCAAAACTATTAATATATTAGTTTTGGATAGCATAGGTAAGGCTTAACACCCCTGTAGTGTTTGTTTTGTTGTCTGTGCCACTGTGATAATTGGATTTAGAAAAAATTGGGTTGTTGTGAATACAAGGATTGGTGAGAAAGCTTCAGTGGAGACACCTTTCTCCCTGATAACTCTTCCAGGACTGAATTTCCCTTCCGAGGGGTAGATTTCTCTCACTTCCTGTTGTCTCACCCCTATTCTTAACTATGAGATGTTTATAAATCGGATGTTTGTAACTTGGGAACTGCCTTTACACGTCTTCAGCTATAACAAGAACTGAATGTTGACAAGCTGGAATGTGTTCAGAGGAGGGCAACTATGAGGAGCGGCTTAAAGATCTAGTCATGTTTAGCCTGCAGAAGAGAAGGCTGAGAGGAGACATGTATAAATATGTGAGAGGAAGTCATAGAGAGGAGGGAGCAGGCTTGTTTTCTGCTGCCTTGGAGACTAGGACGCAATGGAACAATGGCTTCAAACTACAAGAAAGGAGATTCCACCTGAACATTAGGAAGAAGTTCCTAACTGTGAGAGCTGTTCAGCAGTAGAACTCTGTGCCCTGGAGTGTGTTGGAGGCTCCTTCTTTGGAGGCCTTTGAACAGAGGCTGGATGGACATCTGTCAGGGGTGCTTTGAATGCAATTTTCCTGCTTCTTGGCAGAGGTTTGGACTGGATGGCCCAAGAGATCTCTTCCAAGTCTATGATTCTATTAATCTTGGCTTCATTTTCTTAAAAAGTTATATTACAATGACTTGCAGTCTGTGCAAACATGACATGCTGTAACCATGACAAGTAAAGCTTAAATCTGTATTCTTTTTAATGTGCCAATTACACTCCAGGATATGACCATATCTAGGAATCTGTGATGTGTTTAATTCAGTTAGATTGTACTAAATTGTGCAGAAAACAGACTGTAGTTTAGCCAAGCTTAAACATTTTAGAGCTCAACCTTGTTGTCATAAACACAGTTACAGAAATGCAAGTAGGTCAATAAAGATTTCAAATATATATTTACATCGCAATAAATAATGTAAAGAGATATCTAGATTACAAAGATAACTTTCAAGATACACATTTTGAAAACTGTTATGTGTGTAGAACTCTGTGCATTTGTGCTTTCATATGATAAATATATACTGTCATCTATTATGCCTAAACATTAATTAAACATTATGATAAGGGGAAATGTGAGCAAGCAGCAAATCCCTTCTACACATTTCCTGGATATAGTTCCATTACAAAACCAGTGGCGCATTGAGGAGCAGGCAAAACTAAATAAGTAGCTCACTAGAATAAAGCATTAGGACGTGGATCATAAATATACAATATGCCTATAATCCCTCCTAATGTCAGCATGGCAACTAAGCATGGTACAGTGGTTTGAATGCTGGGCTAAAACTCAAGGAGATCAAGGTTGTAATTCCTGCCCTCTCCCAAAAGGTCACACATTCTCAGCTTCAAGAGAAACGTGCCAAGAACCCCCCAAGATAAGTCCTTTTTTGGATTGCCATACATTGTAAACCACCTGAAGTCGCACAACAAAAATGTCAGCATGCTGAAATGTTTTTGAGTTTTGAGGTTTTCCCTCTGAAGCTACTACAGTATGTTCAACAGAGTAAGGTCACACTTTCAATGGAAAGACTGAGAAAAGAATCATTAGTGAAAATTTATTCTACAGCACAACCTCAGACTTTGTATTTTTCCTGAAAATAACCCTGGGCACTATGGGGACTCTGACGCTTTGTCAGTATCTTTGAACACCTTGCTGTCTCATCTTCTGTAAGTTCAAGATAGTGTAGGACACTAGTCAGCATATATAGCATACTGTTAAACCAATTCTTTTGCCCTGTACAGCCTTGCTAATGATATCATTGTAACAGCTTTTGTTAGAATTCTTATTTTTTATTATAAAGTTTTATTCCGCATTTGATGCAAAGTAAGGAACACACAATTAAGCTCCCTGTTACATAAAGGTTCAGCATGCCATATCTGAAATCCAAAATACAGTAGAGTCTCGCTTATCCAACCTTTGCTCATCCAACATTCTGTATTATCCAATGCAGTCTGCCTCCTGCTTGGCTTTCAATACATTGCAATATTTTGGTGCTAAATTCGTAAATACAGTAATTACTACATAACGTTACTGTGTATTCTGTCAATTTGTTGTAAAGCATGATGTTTTGGTGCTTAATTTGTAAAATCATAATGTAATTTGATGTGTAATAGGCTTTTCCTTAATCCCTCCTTATTATCCAACATTTTCACATATCCAATGTTCTGCCAGCCTGTTTATGTTGAATAAGCGAAACTCTACTGTAATTGAAAATTGCCTGCAGCGGAGGCTGGGGTAGTGACAACTTTCTTTTCTGATGGTTGAGTGTACTCAAACTTTGTTTCATGAACAAAAATATTCAATGTAACTAAACAATGTTGTGGACCAATCTTTAAATAACCTAGTTATCTGTTCCAAACAGATTCCAAATTTTAAAGGCATTGTGTAGATTTAATTTTAAGAGAAAGTGTCTCTTTAGTTTAGTTACTAAAAATCATTGATAGAAAGAAGAACAATAATAGAAAACAAATGTTAGAAAACAAAATTATTGTTTCTTTACTATAAGTAATATTTTTTCTCTATTTTTTTATGATACACTGTTGGTTAAGAGTGTTGATAATATAAATGTGTTGATACTGTCCTGGGGTAGGGTTTGGGAGTTTACTCCAAAATACAATGTATAGTTTATTATTATTGGGAGGTTTACAATCACCAATGTTAGAAAATTATGTTCTATTGAGGAAGTAATACTTGAAGGTCTGAAGAATATTGTAAAGTAGTAGTAGTAGATACTATAAAGTTGTAGATGTTCTGGTAGCTATATATACCATTGGTGTGTTCTATTTTGTATTTTTTCTTGAATAGATAGATAGATATATGAAAAATATTTAAAATATTGTGTATAAATTTATCGCCAGTCTAGCTATCTGTCTGTCCAGTACATATGAAACATAGGAACTTAATGTTTAGATTTGGGTCCCATCTCCAAGGTATCTCATTATGCATGTATGCTTAGGCAAATACAGGTACAGGCAGTCCTTAAGCTACGAACAAGATAGGCTCTACAGCAGTGGCTCCCAACCTGTGGTCTGTGGATCACCAGTGGTCCCTAAGAACTAAAATATGGTCAATGCCCTCACCATTACTACACTGCTGCCTCAAAACCACGTGGCAACAAGAGTGAAACCCTCTTACAGTGACAAGGCAATGAGGATATTGGAAGGGGAGACGCTGACTAACCACAAAAGATTACTATTACCACATCAGGTCAAGATAATTAAATATGGTTTTCTGTGGGTGAGCAGATGGTGACTACTGGATGGCATTTGTTCTGTATCTGAAACTAGAGCTGATGTGGCCTATCCAGTGCAAGTTTCTGAATCAGCACCCCAAATAACCAAACTGAATCTAAAGTTGACCAAAAACTAATTCGTAACCCTTTTGGTATTAATTTTGGAGGGTGGTCCCTGGTCAAAGTGGTCCCTGTTCAAGTAGTCTATGGTCAAGTGGTCCCTGGTGAAGTGGTTTCTGGTGAAAGTGGTCCCTGGTCAAGTGGTCCCTGGTCAAAGTGGTTCCTGTTCAAGTGGTCCCTGGTCAAAGTGGTCCCTGGTCAAAGTGGTCCCTGGTCAAGTGGTCCCTGGTCAAAGTGGTTCCCGTTCAAGTGATCCCTGGTCAAAGTGATCCCTGGTCAAGTGGTCCCAGGTCCAAAAAAGGTTGAGAACCACTGCTCTATAGGTTTGTTCTTAACTTGAATTTGTATGTATATCAGAACAGCTACATTTGTTGTGTAACTCCAGCCAAATATACATATTAGCTTTGGATAGCATAGGGAAGGGTTAATACTGCTGTTTTGCTGCTTGTGTTTGTTTTGCTGCTTGTGCGCCCCACCCCCCCCACTGTTCAGAAGATTTCATCTCACTTTCAGTGATAATTGGGTTTTGAAAAAAGTGGCAAGTCCCAAGCATTTTGCATAAGAGATGTTCAACTTGTACTATGATAGCCTGACATTTGAACAGCAAGGAATAACTTTTTAATTACTCATAAGTTTTAATAACTGCTGACCATACTTTTCATATCAATTCTTAAAGTGCTGTGATGTGTACCTCTGCCCTGCTTGCTTTTGCAAGGTAGAACTGATGGAGTTATTCTAGAATCTGTAAAGCTGGAAAGCCCTGGAGAGCTCTCCCTTTCTGCTTTGTGATCCCACAACAGGGAGGGAGGGAGGAGGGGGATTTTCCAGACTATTCAGCATCACTGATACGTAACCCTCACCCGCCCCCCTTGTCTCCTTGCATGCACATTAGCTGGAAAGCAGCCTGCTTGCTGAGTGGCCTGACCTTAATAAATAAGTGATGTCATCCCTTCCATTAGAAATGCAGCCTGGAGGCGGAGAACTTACAAACACCTGTGAGCGAGGAAACGATATGGGGCATGCCCCACTCTCAAAGGCCATTACTAGGCGATTCCCCAACCATGAGCTTCCTTCCCTTTTAGGAGAGCAGAGCAGGAATTTTCAGCACTCTGGACAGCTCCCTCGAAAACACCTGCATTGACGGGCACTCTACTAGTATATCCAGGTAAACCTTCCCTTGTCTTACTCCTTTCTTCAAGCTGACAAGGCATCAAAGACTGCAAAGATCATTAAGAGAGAGAAGGGTAATCCCTTGAAAAATCAGAAATAATCTCCAAATAGTCAACCCCTTCCACTTCTCCTCACCTGACTCCATGTTGCTCAGCAAACTTCCTCACCTGGGACAGGCACACGGTGGAGCCTGCAAACCTGGTGGTTGCCAAAGGTGCCGCCCACTTCTGTCAGAGTAGGAACAAGGGACCTCACAGGTCAGAATGGCTGTCAATCATCCCCAGCACTTCCTCATTACATCTGTCTTGGATGGAAGGAAAGCAGCAAAAAATTGACAGAGAGTTTGGACTGGAAATGTAACAAGTGCAAAAGAATGGCAGCAGTTACTTTGGACAAGTACCCTTTGCCTGGAAAATAGGTATGTTCTTCTGCTCATGTGTGCTCTAAAGTCAAATGGTAGTATGATATATGTTGTGTGTGTCTTTACGTTTTCTGTTGACTTATGAAACTTTGATTAATTTCACAGAGTTTTCTTAGGTGATGAATACTTAGAGGTGGTTTTGTTGGGTCCTTCCTCTGAAATATAGCCTACCACACCTAGTATTTGTTGTTCTTCCATCAAAATATAATGCAGTCTGATCTTGTTTCTGTGTTTTAGGCACTCAGGTGTATGTATACCTATATTCATATATCTGTCAGTACCTGTATCTATTTCGGTATCTATTATTTGAAAAAGATTGTGTTTATTAATTATTGAAACATATTTTAGATATCAAAAGACTTCCTGCATTTTGATACTTTTGTTGATATAGTATACTCTTTTATTTATGAAAATAAAATAGACACGGTTACCTATATTTTTTGGGAGGGAAGGTATATCTGGTAAACTAGAGAAACAAAATAATATTAAATGCACAGAGTTACATGTATATATTTTATAATAATAATAATAACAACATTATTTATTTATAACCTGCCCTATCTCCCTGAGATAGGGCGGGTTATCTCATGTGTATATTTCTGCTGTGTGGTTATTGTGTTTCTTATAAGAGTCTAAGTTTTTTTTCTGTCCTTGTAATTCAGTATCTATACTGCTAAAGCTTATCTCAAAATATGTTCGGTTCTAGGGATAACCCATTTGAAGCTTGTTCTAAAATCTAGAGTGGAGACACTGCACAATACATTAAAACACACAGAGACTTAACTTCTAATATTTGTAATGCCTTCTGTATATGGCTGTCCCAAACCTTTTGCAGATAAAAGTATTTTATTTTTCATTACAACAGGAGGATAAAAGCCACATTCCTGCTTCTTAGTTCTGTGATTCATTGGTTGTTGGTAATATTATTTATGGCTAGTGAAATTCTATGATTGTTAAATCTTCTATATGCTGTATAGTTTTTTGTGAATCGTAAGAGGAAGGAAGGTGGATGGATAAATAATAATAATAATAATAATAATAATAATAATAATAATGCACTGTATTTATATTCTGCTTTATCTCCCCGGAGGGACTCAGAGTGAATTACAGTACACATATAAGGCAAACATTCTATGCCTTTTACACAATGAACAATCACATACAATACACAGATAAGGTAAAGGCCTTCCCCTTTTCATCTCCAAGATGGTACCTATTGATCTACTTACATTGCATGTTTTTGAACTTCTAAGTTGGCAGAAGCTAGGGCTGACAGTTGGGAGCAAACCCCAACTCGTGGCTTCAAACTGCTAGCCCTCCGGTCAGCAGCTTTTCTTGCAGCTAGCAGTTTTAACAACTGTGCTACCATGGCCCCTTCAAGGACACAACTCCCAAAAGACCTGCTGGCAAGTATCATTTTCTTCTTTAACTCTGATTTGATAACGCAGGAGCAGGCATCAGAAAAAGTAAGAAACTCTTCTAAACTGCTCCTATACTTATCTTTATCACATAGACTACAGTACTACAGTTGACGACTTTTCTAAATATGCACAGACTATTTGGACAGCAGTTTGACTGTTGGACCGGGACTCAGGAGACTTGGTCAGCTGTGATCCATGGGGTGATTCTTGTCAGCCACTGTTTCAAAGCCTGGCATGGGGCATATCTACACTGTATCATTAATGCAGTTTGGCACCACTTGAATTGTCATGGCTCAATGCTATGGAATCCTGGGATTAGTAGTTTGGTAGCACTCTTTGGCAGAGAAAGCTAAAGACCTTGATTCCATAGCATTGAACCATGGCATTTCAAGAGGGGTCAAAATTAATTCATTCTACAGTGTAGTTGCACCCATCCCTAGCATCACTGTTGCAAAGATAAGCTAGTTAATATTATGTTTATTTATACCCTGCTTTTTCTCTCCACAGGGAGACTCAAAGCTGCTTACATTAAAAGCATTTCAATACAATTTAAAATCTACAAATGTACAAACATTAAAATAGAATTAAATATTATTGTTATTAGTTCTAGGCATGTCAAGTATAAAAATAAAGTTATTATTATTATTATTATTATTATTATTATTATTAAGTATTCTGAATATTTTCTCTATACAACCATTCAGAAAGTGACTTGCCCATTAACAGAAGACATTCTCTCTCTTTTTAAAGGGCTATGCCAAAGTCAATAACCAAATGGCAGATTTTTGCTTGATGCCCAGGACATTAAGTGTTAAGGATGCAAGGCAAACAGATGACTGCTGATTGTACTGATTGGATATAAGTTCAGGTCTTCACTCAATCACAACACACACTCCCACTTGTACAAATAGCAGGCTAGACATAAACTGTGTTGGTGCAATGCTAGTTGACACAGCAAGTCTGTCTTTGTGAAGGACGACTCCTCTTAGCTTCCTTGAAATGTCTATTGTTGGTCATACTTTGCCCATGATGATAAGATATATTCATTGCTTCAAGGCTGGCACTTATTCAACATGTCTTGCAGTAGACTTCAAAGAGACTGGCCACGGAGTGCATGCGGTAGAAGATGCCCAGTGGCAGGGAGATCTTGACTACAATGGCCCAGAGCGTGAAACCATAGAAAGACTGCTCAATTTGGCTTACCAAGTGTGGGCGCGTGCCATAGGCATATAGAATCCAAACCTAGGTGAACAAAGGAGATAAGAAATAATAATAATAAAACTTTATTTATACACCGCTCTATCTCCCTGAGGGGACTCAGAGCAGTTTCCACATATTCAAAATAATACAAAAACATACAATATAAAACAAAAACATAGGCATAAACTGTTAACACAACATATACATTAAAATCAATTTTAAACCAGTTCCTCTCTCTTCATGCAAGGTAAGCTGCCAGGGGCCAAGATTTTAATAAGGGGCCTGGAATATTTGGAATGGGCTAGGCCAAGGCTAGTTCAAGGAGAAGAGAAAAATGGGGCTGGCTGAATGCTTCAGTGCAAGGATCGGTCTCAACAATGGCCCTACTAGGGGACTGGGCAACTAAATTCCAGGGCCAATTAAAGCACTATAAAAAAGGTCTGGGCTGGAAGAAAAGGTACCCTCAGATGACAGGGAATTGGGGAATGGATGGGGTACAAGGTCAAGTCCTAACTGTTGGCCCAAGGGCTTGCGACTTGAGACTAGTTATTATCGAAGGCCTGATGAAACCACCAAGTCTTCAAGTTCTTACAGAAAGAGGTGAGGGATGGGGCCAGCCTTATCTCCTTGGGGAGGGCATTCCAGAGGCAGGGGGCCACCACCAAGAAGGCCCTCTCCCTCATCCCCACCAATGAATCAGATAGTCCAGTTATCATGTGACATACTGTGGGGCACATGATTTCTATATCTTCATCTTTTCACATGTGTAAGTATTCGCTGAATGAACATGTGATGGTGAATGGGAACCTTTTCCCTAGGTTGTAAAGTAGGTTGTGGTTTTACAATCATTAAAATATTTTTTCTTCCATTAGTGTGCACAAAAATTTGTTTGGAAGTGGACTAGGTTAGATCCTTTCAGAAAGAGGAAGATTTAAGCATATGCACAGTGGGATAGCGAGTCTATTCCTGGGTTTAGTCTGAAGCGTAAAGGAGTTATTCAAAATGCTGGGGTCATTTGAGGAATAGGATTCAGCACCTTGGAGAGATCCTTTGACATTTGAACTAAAGCCCGGAATAGATTCATTATCCAAGGCAGCAGTCAGCTGAAATCAATGACATTATCATGGCAACATCTGTTTATACAACATAATGGAAAGTAAAATAGATTTCTTTGTAAAAAAAAGTTGGTTTATCAACTGTGGAATTAGTAATGATGAATAAGAGCATTCATATCTTCAGATGCATCTGGGAGGGATAACTAAAATAAGTTCAAAGAAAGATGCCAGTTATTTAAGATAGTTTGAGATGCTAAACATACTGTAGTGAATAATATTCCCTTTTTTTCACAATGAGAACTATGATGGACTTTGAAAATATTGTATATCACATGTTCTAGTGATACCCTTCTAAGTTATACCATTAAGACTCCATTTACACTGCCATATAATGAAGTTCCAGAATGCAGTTGAACTGCATTGAATGAACATGTGAGTCTACACTGCATTATATGGCAGTGTAGATTCATATAATCTAGTTCAATGAAGTTAAACTGAATTTTGAAACTGTATTATATCGCAGTGCAGATGGGTCTTAAGTTAAGGTAAAATTCCACTCTTTATTTGTTTTATATGCTCTTTTTTAATGCTTGTGAAACTTTGACAGCTGTAATTTCATAAAATTCACTTATTAACTTTAAAAAATGTCATTATTCTACACTAGTTTGTTGTCTAAGCCTAGTGAAACTGTGCTATTGATATACCCATAATACAGTCTAGAACAGAGTTTGGAAAAATTATTGGTTTAGACAATCCCCCCCCCCCCAATGTTGGTGGGAAAAACTGCCAAAAAGTAACTTTCCCAAGATTTGAACTAAAGCTGATATGCTGAAATAGCAATTAATGTCAAATGGCTTCAGAGAAAGTATTATCTCCATTTCCTAGAAGTTCTGTTGGATTGTCTATCCCTAGGAACCTTCACACCACTTTCAAACTTTATGAAAGTGAATAGAAATAATATCTATATTTTTGTATCACCTCTGCTTCTGACACAAGCTGAGCAACTCACCGAGATGTTGTAGAAGATAAGGAGAATTGAGATGTTTTGTAGAATTTTTCTTCTGATGCTTGGTTTCTTAGGTTCTCCTTGAGAAGGGAGAATTTGGAATTGGGGTTGGTCGCCATCATAGTCATTCAAGTGCTGAGATATCTGACTGTCTAAATTGGCCATGAAGTTGGTCACTGTGTGAGTTTTGGAGAAAGATCCATTGCTGTTTTGCTCCATAGGACATCTAGAAATGGAAAACACCCAGGTGCTACCAGCAAATTCAGTATTATCTTGAGAATCTGCTTCATCATGGTAAGGGCTGGAGTACAAAGCTTCAGTAATGAACAGATTCTGTCCCAGTATTTGAATAGTCTTACAGAGAGAGAAGCAGAAGTCCAGAAGATGGAGACTGCCACTAGTATGGAGAAAGAAGATGGCTACCAAAGAAAAGATGGACACCATGAGGGGACCACAGGAGCTGCCCAGAAGCAAGGTGACATCTAAGTTCCTTACCACACTCTTATCTGAAGAGGGATCTCCACCTTTCTTCTTCATCCTGTAAGTGGTGATGCCAATCAAAGTTGCCAAGAACATGGCAGACAACAAAATGGAGTTGAAGATGTAGTATGTTCGAAGGGCTTCAGGAATGGTTTCAGGCAGCTTGGCAAGCACTCCAAATGAGATCATCACCCCAAAAGTTGCTGAAATGGCCAAAGCCCCTAAAATTAGTCCCACAAAAGCCCCACTGAGGTGGAAGTGTGCCTTCTGAGCTATTGGGGGCTTCTGATGATGACCTTCCCTGCCAGTGTTCTTCCAAATGATATACAACATTGTAGAAGAGAAGAGGCTGAACTCAATGTTGAAGGGATGCAGGTAGGCAGCACCCTCCGAAAAGCTGTGGCACAGGCTGGTGATACAGATGCAGCTGTTGGTGCTGGAGCTGCCTGGAGGGAGAACAGGAAAAAAGTAGCTGGTATGCTTTCTGCTGGTACTGAAACAACAAAATGTCTCTGAAGTTGTATTATTATTAACAGTGCTTTCATTTATACATTGCCTTGCTGACCAACCCCAATTCCAAATTCTTCCTTCTCAAGGAGTTGTAGTTTTACAAAGTCTTTAGCTGTCCCTACTGAAGACTGCTAGTGTTTCACCAAACTATTAATCCTAGGATTCCATAGCATTGAGGCATGGTGGTGGTGCAACATTTAAACTGTTAACTATTGAATCTACTGACCTAAAGATTGGCAGTTCAAAGCCGTGGGTTGGGGTGAGCTCCCGCTATTAGCTCTAGCTCCTGCCAACCAAGCAGTTCGAGAACATGCAAGTATGAGTAGATCATAGGTACTGCTTTGGTAGGAAGGTAGTAAAGGCACCCATGCAGCCATGTTGCCAACGTGACCAGGAGGTGTATATGGACAACAGGCTCCTCAGCTTGAAAATGGTACAACAGCACCTCCCCATGTTCAGAGTTGAGCACCACCTCCAGAAAGCCAGAGATGATAGGGGAAGCTTTTGTCTTTGTTCTGTGCGTTTGAATGTCATTGTTATTCTACTGAATGTTTTGCCTATCTGTGAGTCCCCTTGGGGTGTAGAATGGAATATAAACAAACTGTTATTGTTATTCTTCTTGTTGTTGTTGTTGTTATAGTGGTGACAAACTACCATACATTAATTATACAGTTTAGATGCACCCTATGGAAACGTATAGTACCAACTTCCTTTTCTCAGTTTGATTCTAAGGTGCCTTTGTAGACTAATATGGCTATGTCTTTAATTTAAAATTAATACAATATAATTAAGGACATAAACAGATCAGCATTAAAACAGAATCACAATATTTGCGATATTGAAACAATTAAAAAAACCAACTAAGCAGTAATACAGCATGTTGTGAAAAACACTTTCTTTAAAAACTTTTAGTTCTAAACACCTTGGGAATAAAAAAAAGTCCAAGGAAAAACAGAAGAGGCTATTCTGGTCTTTCTGGGAAAGGAGTTTGAATATTGGCAGCCACTAAGAATGTTGTTTCTCACATCCCCACTAACCATGCTTGTGAAGGTGGTCGGACTGAGGGAGGCCTCTCCTGAGGTATTAGGTGCCGGGAAGACTCATATGGAGATATGCAGTTTTAATTTGGAGAAGTGCCCATCCTTTCCCATTAAGAATGCAGACCTTTCCTGGTTTTTTTATTAATGGAAGTCCCTGGCGGTTGGATTGAGTGGGCCTTGTGGTCTCTTCCAACTCTACCAGTTGGATGGGAGCCTGCCAACAAATACCAAGTATTGTGGGCTACATTTCAGAGGAACAATTGGCAAATCCACATTTAAGGATTCCTTGCATAGGAAATCTATGAAATTCACGGGGTTGCCAAGTTAACTGGTGACTGGAAAGCACATGCATGCAGTTGATCATATTTTAGAATTTGGCAGATCCTGTAGTGCAGTGATTCTTAACCTGTGGGTCCTCAGGCTTACAACTCCCAGAAATCCCAGCCAGTTTACCAGTTGTTAGGATTTCTGAGAGTTGAAGGCCAAAACATCTGGGGACCTACAGATTCAGAACCACTGTGTAGTCTGTCATTGTCCTTCTCAAGCCATTTACAGACCTCTACTGCTTGTTGAGAACAATCATGATAGAATGGTTTGAGCATTGAACGACAACTGTGGGAATAAGAGCTCAACTTCCTGCCTGGCTGTGGAAACCCATTTAATGACTTTGGAGTAGTTCAACTCTCAGCCTCAGAAAAAAAACATGGGCAACTACCTTTTGAATCTATTTTACCATGAAAACACCATGATAAGTTTGTGTTTGAGGCACCATAAATTGAAAAAAACTGAAAGGTACACAAGAACAACTGTTCATTGCTTTCCTCTCCCCAATAAGAAATGTAGTTTTTACCATGAGGAATCTGAGAGCTCTCTCCCTTCTGAGCATCATAAAATTCTTCTAGCTGCTTCATAGATTCGTCCAGCACCACATTCATCCACAGAAGCACATTAGTAGCCAAAGTGTGCATCAACCCAAACCTAGAAATTAAAGAAAAAGAAAGAAAGAGACTAGTTATGTGCTGTATTGTGTACTTTTGAGAGATATTCTGTCATTTCACAGTCATGATGGTTCAAAATTAGGACTGACTTCTAGTCACCAAGTCAACTATACTATTATGCCCTCAAACTTCATTAACAATTCTTGGCATCATTTTGTTATTGCAGAGGCTGTCCATCATCACATCTATAGAATATGGTGAAAATGGGAGAGCAGTGGTGAGACACCTTGCAGCTATTCCTGCTGGATTTTCTAGCTCCTTCCCATTTTCCAATAGTTGCTGTGTGCACTCCACAACCTGTCTTAGACATCCTAACAAACCAAACTAAGCAAATCATGGATTTGGAAGACTCTTGGAAGGAAGCCTGAAGACATGTCCATCTAGAGTTGAACAATACCTGCTTTCAGGTATTGACAATTAACTATCCACTGCAATGACTCAAGAGAATAGTCCAGCATTTCTCAACCTGGAGGTCGGGACCCCTGGGGGGGGCATTGTGAGGAGGTGTCAGAGGGGTCACCAAAGAGGATCAGAAAACACAATATTTTCTGTTGGTCATATGGGTTCTGTGTGGGAAGTTTGGCCCAATTCTATCATTGGCGGGGTTCAGAATGCTCCTCGATTGTAGGTGAAATATAAATCCCAGCAACTACAACTCCCAAATGTCAAGTATATTTTTCACAAACTCCACCAGTGTTCAAATTTGGGCATATTGAGTATTTGTGCCAAGTGTGGTCCAGATCCATCATTGTTGGAATGCACAGTGCTCTCTGGATGTAGATGAACTACAACTCCAAAATTCAAGGTCAATGCTCACCAAACCCTTCCAGTATTTTCTGTTGGTCATGGGAGTTCTGTGTGCCAAGTTCAATTCCTTTGTTGGTGGAGTTCAGAATAGTCTTTGATTGTAGGTTAACTATAATCCCAGCAACTACAATTCCCAAATGACAAAATAAATCCCCCCCCCAACCCCACCAGTATTCCAGTTTTGACATATTGGGTATTTGGTTTAGTGAATGAAATACGTCCTGCATATCAGATATTTACATTATGATTCATAGCAGTAGAAAAATTACAGTTATAAAGTAGCAGCGAAAATAATGTTATGGTTGAGGGTCACCACAACATGAGGAACTGTACTGAGAGATAGTGGCATTAGAAAGGTTGAGAACCACTGGAATAGTCCTACCTGTTTATATGCTGGTGTTCTTGAATGCAAATTTTAGCATTGAACAACAGCAACGAGACCTGTAAGGAGGTAAATTCAAAATTAAAGACAACGTCACACCGTTACTGGCTCTGAGGCGGAGAGAATGTGACTGCCCCAAATTCACCCAGTGGGTTTTCATTGTTGAGTGAGGATTTGAATCTTTGCATTTAGAGTCACAATTCAATACTCAAGCCAATACACCATGCTGTCCCCATCTGTACTCCCCCAGATTGCTTCTCCTTTGAGCTGCAGGAAGGCTCAGAGGTGGGAGGCTATGTAGTCCACATCCAAGACTTAAAAATATTTCTTTGATTCTCTCAAACCTGGTTAAATGCATTAAGTGATGTAGGCATTTTTCAAGGAAATTGAAAACTGTAAAAAAAAAAAAAAAAGCCAAACGGCTTAAAACTCTGGATGTGGACTAAAATGATCTGAGGAAGAAGGAAGCAAAGAATGCTTGCTTACACTTTGAAGGATGAATCTGGCTTAGCTGAGATTGCTGTAGTTTCTCCACCAAGTATCAAAATCAAATCCAGTCTCACCTGAATGATGGTGAAAACAGCTTGTACAACAGGGAAGGTGGTGATTAGCATGGAGGCACAGTGCTGCAGCTCATAGTAGTAGCCCAAGGAGAGGCAGTCCAAAACCAGTGTGGCCAACGCAAAAAGAGACAGACCCCCTGCCATGACAAGAGAGCACTGTCACCCCAAACATTGCACAAAAAAAATAGACACTTAGACTTCTCTTTTGTCTTCCTTTGAGGCTGAGTGTGTGGCCCACCCAAAGTCACCAGTGGACTTCCATGGCTGAGTGGAGATTTAAAACCTGATCTCCAGACCACTACACTACATTAGCTTTTAGCTCTTCCATATTACACAATTATAGCGCTATGATACCATGTTAACTATCATGTTTTCCTATGGAATCCTGGGATTTATAATTTAGATAGGCAATAGTTTTGTGGCTGAAGCTTATAAGAGCCCCTCTCTCAACTACAGATCCCAGAATTCCATAGGATGGAACCACAGCCCATTAAATAGAATTGTAGTGGTAGCATTTTGTCAAGCAAAATGATCCCTGGTGGAAATAGCAGAAATTACTCCAAGGTGGTTGGGGATGAATTTCCTGATGTAAGGATTGCATAGTCCACTCAAAGGAATATCTGTGTCAAAAGCCTTTTCTGAAAATACAGAACCTCTTTTTAGTATTCTAGAAGCCCCAAGAGTGGGCTTTATCTTTGAAGAATCCTGATAGTTCAAACTGCATTAAATGGACAGTGTACATGAGACTTAAGAGTGTTTTGAAATTTAACCTACCTCACAAGGTTGTAAAGGCAAACATAACAATTTGTCACAGCCATTTATAAGACAAAAAGTTTGTGAATAAATGTTATTTTTTTATTTTGCCCGGTGCAGTACTTCATGGTTCATAGCATTCCTACTCATATAATGCAGATGCCCTTGATTTCTCGTAACCAGAAATGTCTACATTATGGAAGGGCAGGAGGATTGTTAGGTAGGGGCCATTTTCTCATATTTGTGAGAACCTATAATCTTCCAGATGCCACTGAATTCCATTTCCCGTCTGCTCTAGTCATCTTGGCCAAAGATAAAGACATTAGGGGCTGGTGGTTTTCATCCCTGGTACTTTGCAATCAATTGTATTTTTGTAACACCTCTACCTTTTAACCAGCTTGCTCCAGCCTGGTGATCCTGATGCATTTTCAGTTGCCTGTTGTTGGCGGAGCGCCAGCCAAACCAGAGCATCCAGACGCAGGACGAAATCATAAGTGCCCCCAGAAATGTAAGGACATTGCGACTCAGCAAGCTGTGCTGATGCATCTCAGCAAGGAGCACAGCACTCCCCACAAAAGTCAACAGTGCCAGATAGAGCAGGGACAGCAGGGAACTAGATTGTGTAGTGGATGCCATGGGTGGGTGATTTCTCTTCGTTGTGACACTGGAATGTGGCAGGATGAAGTTCTGTAGAAGAGCATGATGGTCAAGACCAGAGAACAGAAGATTAGGGAGGGACACACACATTTTGCAACTGGTTAAATCCATATCACATATTGTACATATCTTCTCACAATCTGCTTTCTCTTACACACACTCTGTCACACACAGGCTCATAATAGTGTGGGAGGAAATTACATATCCTTCTTGCTATTTCAATGTAGTTTGCATTCAAGTAATTTTGGGCATATGGTGACTTTTGGCAAACCTATCACGGGGTTTCTTTCAACAGGACCACATCTTTCACAACAACTAAAGGCAGAAGCAGTTTAATACAGTGGAACTAATAATAATAATAATAATATACTTTATTTATATTCTGCTGTATCTCTTCAAGGGAACTTAGAGCAGATTACACATATGTAGGCAAACATTCAGCGTCTTTTATACAGTAACAACAATGACATACAATACAAACAAAGGCAAAGGTTTCCCTTCCATCTCCGATGTCTGAAGGCAATGTTTAACTCTGACCATGGGGAGGTGCTCTTTTTCCATTTTCCATGCCAAGGAGCCTGTTGTCTGTAGACTCTCCTGGTTGTGTTTGCCGGCATGGCTGCATGGGCGCCTTTTACCAAGGCGGTATCCATTGATCTATTCACATTGCACATTTTTGAAGTGCTAGGTTGGCAGAAGCTATGTTTGGGGAACATTAGAAGCCCAAATTGCAATAAAAGTAGTAATTCCATATTATTTATGCAGGCTGAGTCCCACACACTATCACAAAAATTTGGAACCATTAAACAGACCTCCAACTTCTGTTTAAAGCCCTCTAAAGAAGGGGAGTCTAATACTTTCTGACAAAGTCAATACCACTGTTGGACAGCTCTTAGAGTCAAGAATGTCTTCCTAATGTTTGGGCAGAATATCCTTTCTTGAAATTTGAATCACTGGTTTACGTTTGATTATTTCAAGGAGCAGAAAACAAGTCTTGTATGTAACATCCTTTCAGGCACTTAAATATGGCTCTTGCATCACTTGATCACTAATACAACTATAATCACTAATACAGTAGAGTCTCGCTTATCCAACATGGGCTGGCAGAACATTGGATAAGCAAAAATGCTGGATAATGAGGAGGGATTAAGGGAAAGCCTATTAAATGTCAAAATACATTATGATTTTACAAATTAAGCACCAAAACATCATGTTCTACAACAAACCAGCAAAAAAGCAGTTCAATACATGGTAACGTTATGTAGTAGTTACTATATTTACTAATTTAGCATCAAAACATCGCAATGTATTGAAACAGCAGTGGATCCGGGTGAGAGGCAGACTGCATTGGATAATACAGAATGTTGGATGAGCAAAGTTTGGATAAGCGAGACTCTACTATTTATCAGTGATATAACGCTTTAATATTAATTCTCATAATGAAACCTGGGATATCTCTAAACTGTAATATTAATGCAGTTTGGAATCATTTTAATACCATGTCTCAATGTTACAGAATATTGGAATCTTCAGTTTGGTGAGGCACCAGAAGTCTTTGGCAGAGGTCAGTAGAGCTTATAAAACTACAGCTCTCCCAATTTAATAGTATTAGGCATGATAATTAAACTGGTGTCAAACTGCATGAATTTTAAAATGTAGGTGCACCTCTGGATCCCTGATTTCCTCCTGCCCAGAGCTTGTTAAAATCATTTTTTGCTTTACAATTCACAAAACTGGCCATGCTGGCTGGAGGCATTCTATGAGCCACTGTCCTAAAAAGAGAATTTGTCTAAGGTTCCCAGCCTTTTTCTCCTTGCAAGACCTCACTCACCTGGTATTGTCAAGCTGCTGAGACCCCAAATCTTGTCTTCCACTCCTGCTAAGAGGTAGCTGTGGCAGAAATCTGCAGGAACTGGCAGGGTGAGGCATTAATATACCTCCAGTGATGCTCCCAGGAGGTCTGCTGGGAACCACTCCCGTTCGCATAAGCAGGGGCAGGGAAATCAAGATTTCCAAATCTGCCCTTTCTCTCTTTGCTCTATGCTTGTTTTTCAAATGCCTTATTACAAGGTACAGACCACAACAGAAGAGTCATTAGAAGCATTCTTCCCAGCACAGCATCAGAAAAAAGAAGCACACTTGTTTTATATTTCAGAAAATGAAAGAGATTTTGATACTCTGTAAAGCAGACAAAGTAAGGGAATAATTCCCTAGGGTGACATATCCCAAGAAAAAAATTAACATAATCTAGGAAAACATATTTCATTCATTTCTAAAATAAAAAATAATATTTTCAGAAATATCTCATTCTCCAGTACACTGTTTATAATTGCACAATCGCATTTGAACTATAATATCAATAAAAATGACTAAGCCAAAATACTGAGTTGCAATTAAAACATTATTTTAAACTTGATTCAACATGGTATTTTCAAAATGAATACTGCAAAGCCTTTGTATATTTGTTTCACAGGATTTGGCAGGGTTTACTTTCAGGTTCATGTGTACAGAATGGCAGCTTAACCAAACATTTCATTAATTCAGACTTTCTCATTTAGACATATAACGAAAGCTTACTTTTTGCTACATAAGGGCTTAATACATGCACTTGAGTGGTAGTGTTTCAGAAAAGCATAGAAAGTAACGTGAGTTTTCCTGAACAGCCAGAAAAGGACGAACTAGTGTAATACATGTTTTAGAATTAAATGTGGTTTAATTTGTAATTCCCAAAATATAGGGTGTGTGATATATATATTTAAATACAGGCAGTCCACAAGTTGTGAACAAGATAAGTTCTGTAAGTTTGTTCTTAAGTTGAATTTGTTTGTATGTTGGAACAGGTACATTTTAAAGTGCAACTCCACTCATCTATATAAATAAAAATGAAATGTTCGTTTGTGGGATTAACAGAACTCAAAAACCACTGGAAAAATTGACACCAAATTTGGACACAAGACACCTAACAACCCAATGTATGTCCTTCACTCAAAAAATTGATTTTGTCATTTGAGAGTTGTAGTTGCTGGGATTTATAGTTCACCTACAAAGAGAATTCTGAACCCCGCCAACGATGGAATTGAACCAAACTTGGCACACAGTTCTCCCATGACCAATAGAAAATACTGGATGGGTTTGGTGGGCGGTGTCCTTTGGTTTTGGAGTTGTAGTTCACCTACATCCAGAGATCACTGTGGACTGAAACAATGATGGATGTGGACCAAACTCTACACAAACACTCAATATGCCCAAATATGAACACTGGTGGAGTTTGGGGAAAATAGAATCTTGACATTTGGGAGTTGTAGTTGCAGGGATTTATAGTTCACCTACACTCACAGAGTATTCTGAACCTCACCGATAGAATTGGGCCAAACCTCCCACACAGAACCCCCATGTGGGCCACAGCAACGCGTGGCAGGGGACGGCTAGTGTGTGTGTGTGTAGAGAGAGAGAGAGAGAGAGAGAGCTTTGGATAACATAGGGGTTAACACCACTGTGGTGTTTGTTTTGCTATCTGTGACCCTGTTCAGAAGATTTCACACCACTTTCTGACCCTGTGATAATCAGATTTTGAAAACTTTTGGGTTGTCATAGAAACCAGGATTGGTGATAAAGCTTCAGTGGAGACACCTTTTCCCCATGATAGCTCTTCCAGGAGTGAATTTCCTTTCTGAGGGGTAGATTTCTCTCACTTCATATTGTCCCACTCCTGTTCCTTAACTATGAAACATTGGTAAGTCAGATGAATAATTGGTAAGTCAGGTAACTCAGGGATTGCCTGTACATTGCTTCTTGTTTATTTCACATAGACACAAAAGCTTTGTACAGTATTACCTTCGTGTGACACACCTACAAACTGCAGTTGACACACTAATGTGTCATCACACACAGTTTGGAGAGCTCTATACAGTTTTACAAGGGATCTAGTATATGAGGCCATTGGGTTGCTGTGAATTTTCCAGGCTGTATGGCCATGTTCCAGAAGCATTCTGTCCTGACATTTCACTCACATCTATGGCAGGCATCCTCAGAGGTTGTGAGGTATATTGGAAACTAAGCAAGGGAGCTTTCTATATGAGACCATTCTATATTCAAGCTTATTTCCTTCAAGAGTTTTTCCCTTGAATCTTTTGGCTCATATAGACCCATGGGCTCTGTGTGACCTCCAAAGAATGCACAACATGCTTGTAAAGAACCAGTGAAACACGTTCATCAAGTTTCCTTGAATTTAACCTCTATCCTAGCCAGATTCTAAACCCATGTATTCTGCAACCAAGATGGTACAGCAGCCTCACCCATACACAGGACTGTGCCTTTTAAGGATGTAGAAGCCCTAAAGGCACCAGATCCTGTCTGATAGGAGGAGCTAAGCAGAATCAGTCCTTGCTAGTACTTGGATGGGAGACCAATATCAGGTACTGTAAGGCACTCTGCATATGTTCAGAGGCACAGCAATAATCTCATACAACCAACCCAGAGCTCTGTAAAAATAAAAGCCCCTCTATTGTGGAAAGCCCTCCCCAGGGATATTAGATCAACCCCCTCCCTCTTGACCTTCTGGAAAAAAAAAGTGAAAACGTGGCTATTTGAACAAGCCTTCGGAATCTGATGCAACAGTCAAACACAGTATTAGACAAAAGTGAACATCAGAATGGCTCAGACGACAATTTATGAATAATGAGACTAACAATGAAGGCATTGGTTTGATAGGTTTTTAAAGGTTTTATTGAATGTATTTTGAATTCTCTTAATTGTATATTGTTAGGCATCGAAGGGCTGCCTGGTTGTAAGCTGCCTTGAATCACTTTCAGGTTCGAGAAAGGCGGGATAGAAATATCATAAATAAATAAATGTGAGCATACATAGGTAAAGGTTTTCTCCTGACATCAAGTCTAGTCGTGTTCGACTCATGAGGTGGGGCTCATCATCATTTCTAAACCGAAGAGCCGGCATTATCCATAGACACTGTTACCTTCCTGCAGAAGTGGTACCTACTCACGTTTGAATGTCTTTGAATTGCTAGGTTGGCAGAAGCTGGGCCAAACAGCGGGAGGTCACCATGCTCCCTGGATTCAAACCGCCAATCTTTTGGTCAGTAAGTTCAGCAGCTCAGTGGTTTAACCAGCTGCATCACCAGGGGCTACTTGTATACATAGTAAAGGTAAAGGTTTCCCCTTGACATTAAGTCTAGTTGTGTCCAACTATGGGGGGTGGTGCTCATTTCCTTTCTAAGCCGAAGAGCAGGCGTTGTCTACAGACAAGGGGGGAGGGGGCGGCCTTGTATACATACATATAAAAATGTATGCTTGTATAAATACATGCATATAAATATTTACGTTTTTGTTTATATGTATGTTTATTTATATTTATTTATTTACATATAAATAAATAAATATGTTTATTTCTATTTATTTATTTATACATAACATGTATAATATTGTTGGGGTTCAGCCTGATCCTGATCTGTGTGAACCGGATTCTCTGATAGTTTTTCCAACTGAGCAAGCTCTCCCTGACCCTGACAGCGTGGAATCTGTTGTTGATGTAGAGGTCAGCGGCGATGAAAATGAAACTCAACAGCTGGAGGAAAATGTTTTGGAAGCTAGCCGTGATATCACTAGCCGTGATATCTCTCCACCTGGGGTTTTTAATGAGGACCGAAGAGAACAGATAGTTAGAGACAGAAATGTTTCCCAGTTTCTACGAAGGTCACATCGTTTACAGGAGAGACAGGCCCAGGCTTCAAAGTCAAGGGGCGTTTCAAAGAATAGCGTCTTTGGTTTAAGAGGCCTCCTGCCGGGTGCCTCTTTAGATCAAGCAACGTTTGGGACTGTGGTTGTGCCTTGGCTGAATTCCTGTGTTTCATGGCCGGTAATCCCAGAGGCTCCTAGTTATCAAGTTCATGGTTAGTAAAAGGCTAACAGGTTCCTGGTTCTTGTATTGTGGCTTTTGAAATTTTGCTCAAGTTCAGAGATTCTACTGACTGCTGTGTTTTTCTGTGGCTTTTTGACTTTGCATTTACCTTTCTTTTGTAACCAATTTTTCATCAATAAACAAGGATTGCTTTTCCTACAGTCCAGTGTGGTGGATTTAATCTTATGGTCTTATTTCTTGAACTGGGATGCAACAAATATTATAATGTAATGCAATATAATAATACTACTAATATGAGAAGACAATTATGCTGGGGAAAATGGAAGGAAAAAGGAAGAGGGGCTACCAAGGGCAAGATAGATGGATGGCATCCTTGAAGTGACTGGATTGACCTTGAAGGAGCTGGGGGTGGTGACGACTGACAGGGAGCTCTGGCGTGGACTGGTCCATGAAGTCACGAAGAGTCGGAAATGACTGATCGAATGAACAACAAACTACATCTTGTCCACACTAGTGTCAGTTGGCAAGATGGATGGATGGTATCCTTGAAGTGACTGGATTGACCTTGAAGGAACTGGAGGTGGTGACAACTGACAGGGAGCTCTGGTGTGGACTGGTCCATGAAGTCACGAAGATGATGATGATGATGATGAAAAAGAAAGAGGGGCTGACCAAGGGCAAGATGGATGGATGGTATCCTTGAAGTGACTGGATTGACCTTGAAGGAACTGGGGGTGGTGACGACCGACAGGGAGCTCTGGTGTGGACTGGTCCATGAAGTCACGAAGAGTCGGAAACGACTGAAAGAATGAACAACAACAAGGATGATATTATAATTATATATGTACATGTAATATTACTAATAATATTACAATATAATGGTATAGTACAATATAGCAATATTTACTACTGATATTGTACTATGCTAATAACATAATATATTGTATGTATATATATCTTGTAAGCTGTTCTGAGAGCCCTTCGGGGGTGATGGGGGATGTATAGAATCATAGAATCATAGAATCAAAAAGTTGGAAGAGACCTCATGGGCCATCCAGTCCAAACCCCTGCCAAGAAGCAGGAATATTGCATTCAAAGCACCCCCGACAGATGGCCATCCAGCCTCTGTTTAAAAGCTTCCAAAGAAGGAGCCTCCACCACACTCCGGGGCAGAGAGTTCCACTGCTGAACGGCTCTCACAGTCAGGAAGTTCTTCCTAATGTTTCTTATCTGTGCTATTCTAATAATATAATATAATATATTGTATATACATATAATATTTATAATATTATAATGTAATGTAATGCAATATAATAATAATATGATATTATAATTATATATTGATATTACATGTACTATTACTAATAATATTACGATATAGTGGTACGGTGCAATATAGCAATGTTTAATGCTGATACTGTACTATGCTAATAATATACTATATTATATGTAATATATATCTTGTAAGCCGCTCTGTTTCCCCTTCGGGGCGAGAAGGGCAGCATATAAATGTCGCAAATAAATAAATGAATGAATGGAATTTCCTTTCTTGTAGTATGGATATCCTTGTATCCATACATACATACATACATAATAAAAAGGTAAAGGTAGTCCCCTGACATTAAGTCCAGTCATGTCTGACTCTGGGGTGTGGTGCTCATCTCCATTTCTAAGCTGAAGAGTCAGCGTTGTCCGTAGACACCTCCAAGGTCATGTGGCCGGCATGACTGCATGGAGCGCCGTTACCTTCCCGCCGGAGTGGTACCTATTGATCTACTCACATTTGCATGTTTTCGAACTGCTAGGTTGGCAGAAGCTAGGGCTGACATACATACATACATATAAATAAATAAATATAAATAAAGCATTCCTTTTGTTCAGCTGCATCCCTGCTCAGCTGCAGCAGAAACTGGCAGGCGATTTGATGGCATAGGCACAGGTAGTTTGTTCCATTCTTGGCTGGGACTGAGCCACGAGGAAAATGCACTCTGCACATGCTCAAAGCCCCCATGATCACACACGCACGTGTATATCTCTATCACTCCTTTCTCTGCTCAGCAGCCGCCTTCCACCTGCGGGTTTGCAAACGCCTCCGAGGGATTATGAGGACTTGGAGCCAGGCGCCGGATCTGCCCGCTCTCTCTGGCTGTGTCTTCTCGCACGTAGCCTCACTCCAGCCCGGGAGGCGGCTCTCGTGGGTTGCAAAGGCTGCAAAAGCGTCGCCCGCACACAGAAGAGCAGCAGCTGGCGCGCGCCGCGGCGGTGGCTCCCTAGGCTGGGCCTTTGCTCCGGTCCACCACCCTTAATCCCATCCCTTCGCAGCCGACAGCGGCCTGCCCGGACACGCGGCCCATTCCTCCAGCCTCAGACTAACCTGCTAGCCCTGGGCCCCACCCCTCGCGCTCTCTCATTGGCCCGCTCTTGGGGTGCCGAGGAAAGGGCCCGCCTTTGCAAGCAGAGCACCGCTGATCGGGTTGCAGCAGCCGCCTGTGCTCGTGTGGACAGCAAAAGTGAGTCGGATGCGGGATTAAAAACCTTTCCTTCGAGAGTGCAGCGGTTTCACCTTCCTTTCCCTTCCCCTCACCCTACCTACTTTGCCTGCTTCATTCTCTTTTGTGCCGGGTGCGTGTACACTGTAGAATTAATCCAGTTTGGTACCGCTTTAACTGCCATGGGATCTTGGGAGGTGTAGTTTGGTGGGGCCCCAGCACTCCTAGGCAAAGAAGGTGCGAGAGTAGGTCTCACGATTCCATAGCATTTAAAGTGGTGTCAAACTAAGGTTAATTCCACAGTGTAGATGCAGTCTGGGTGGATCCAACCCAACTGTTTTTCCTCTCTCTCAATCTCTCTCCTGTAGATTACTCACCCTCCCTTCCGATCTCTCTCTCTCTCCCTCCCCCTTTCTCTGTTCCATTTCCATATGAGTCATAAGCAGATTTTTCTTTCCTTTTTGGGTGGGGTCCACTGGCGTCACGAGCCTCCCACGCGCCAAAGGGCTTCTTCTCCCTTTTTCCACTGGGACGAGAGGAAAGGCATGGAACGGGTTCCAAGTAACGGGACTCTCCTCCGTTATCCGCGGTTGGGGATGCATCTAGGCATRTGCAAACTTGGGCCCTCCAGGTGTTTTGGACTCCAACTCCCACCATTCCTCGCAGCCTCARGCCGTTTCCTTTCCCCCCTCAGCCACTTAAGAATATTAGAATGTTGAGGCCRGCCAATCAGAAACTATATGCRAATGAGCAGGTCAAGATAGCTCATGCATGGGCCAACTTGGGCCCTCCAGRTGTTTTGGACTCCAACTCCCACCATTCCTAACAGTCCCTTCCATTTCCCCCTCAGCTGCTTAAGGTGTAGACGCAACCTCAGCCATCCATAGAACATCTTTATTAAGGGATTTATTTATTTATTTATTTATTGTGTCAGAAGTCAAAGTATGTTTATGTGTATGTATGTTTGGTTCACAAAGGCTCATGCATGGTATAATAGACCTGGATGAAATTTGGTACACATATCCTTCATGGTCCAACAAAAAATAGTGACAGGGCTTTTTTTTTGGGGGGGGGGTGATAGAGGATGATGGGAGTTATAGTATAACATGCACATTTGTGGATTGTGGACCACTTCTTCAGACTCATTGATAGAATTAATATTAAACACCAATGATATAGAACCGAGGGTACAGTTGTAATGTATTTAAAAAACACAAAGTTTTAAAACTTGGCCTTATATTAAATGTCCTCTGACCAGTAGCCAGTCACTTGGAGTGCCTCTGGTGTTGCCTTAAGAAGGTCCTCCAATGTGCATGTGGCAGGGCTCAGACTGCATTGTAGTTAGTGGTCTGGTTTGCTCTACTCCACACTCACATGTAGTCCCATTTCTTAAGGTTGGCTCTTCATCTCATGGTGCCAGAGCGCAGCCTGTTCAGCTCCTTCCCCGCCACCCAATCTTCTGTATACCCAGGAGGGAGTCTCCTATTTGGTATCAGCCATGGATTGAGGTTCTGGATTTTAGCCTGCCACTTTTGGACTCTCGTTTGCTGAGGTGTTCCTGCAAGTATCTCTGTAGATCTTAGAAAACTATTTCTAGTTTTCTAAGTCTGTTCTGTAAACCGCCATGAGTCACCCTCGGGCTAAGAATGGCGGTATAGAAATATAGTAAATAAATAAATAATAAATAAATATCTTGATTTAAGGTGTTGGCATGCTAGCTGATACCCGAACAGGGGATGGGCTGGATATGTCACTGCCTTGGTTCTTTTATTGTTGGCTTCTACTTCCTGGCGCATGTCAGGTGGTGCAATACCAGTTAAACGGTATAATTTCTCCAGTGGTGTGGGGCATAGATATTCTGTGATAATGTGGCATATCTCATTAAGAGCTACATCCACTGTTTTAATGTGGTGAGATGTGTTCCACACTGAGCATGCATATTCAGGAGCAGAGTAGCAAAGCACAAGGGCAGATATGTCTTCACTGTGTCGGGTTGTGATCCCCAGGTTGTGCCAGTCAGCTTTCATATGATATTATTTCTAGAATCCACTTTTTGCTCGCTAGTCAAGCAGTGCTTCTTGTAAGTCAGAGCATGGTCCAGGGTAACTCCCAGGTATTTTGGTGTACTGCAATGCTCCAGTGAGATTCCTTCCCAGGTGATCCTCTATTCTTAAGGTGAAAAGCACACGTCTGTGTTTTAGATGATTAGGAATCAGCTGGTTCTCCCTGTAATAGGCAGTAAGAGCACCAAAAGCTTCAGAAAGCTTCTGTTCAACCATTTCAAAGCTCCTTGCTTAAGCAGTGATGGCACAATCGTCAGCATAGATGAAATTCTCCGTCCCTTTTGGCAATGGCTGGTCATTTGTGTAAATGTGAAACATTGATGGAGCAAGCACAATTCCCTAAGGCAAGCTGTTCTTGTGTTTGCGCCATCTGCTTCTCTGGCCCAGGAATTCAACAAAAAAGCTCCTGTTTTGTAGCAGATTTCCTATGAAGTGGGTGAAGTGGCAGTCCTTTGTGAGAGTATAAAATTTTCTCAGGAGAAGGTAATGATTTAGAGCTGTGGTTCTCAATCTGGGATCCCCAGATGTTTTTGGCCTACAACTCCCAGAAATCCCAGCCAGTTTACCAGATGTTAGGATTTCTGGGAGTTGAAGGCCAAAAACATCTGGGGACACCAAGTTAAGAACCACTGATTTAGAGTGCCATAAGCTGCTGTCAGTTCTAGGAAGCTTCTGTAATCTGCTGCCTTTCAAAACCATCTTCTATGTGCTGAATCAGGTTCAACACCTGTTATGTGGCAGCTTTTGCCTTTCCTGAAATGTGGAATATGCTGTCTGGAGATTTTAAAGCAGAGGCTGGATGGACATCTGTCAGGAGTGCTTTGAGTGGGTGTTACTGCAAGGCAGGGTGATGTTGGACTGAATGGCCTTTGTGGTATCTTCCAACACTTTGATTTTATCAATCTGTGAAAAGAATTAATGGACAAAGAGTAATAATAGAAAAGAGAAACATGATCTTCCCTTCCTAGAATTCTTTCAGCTGCTTGGATTAACCTTCTTGGCATCTTGAATAAATGGGAAGAGATATACACATAGATATACTTTTTTGGTTTTCCATAGGCTGGTTGGTTTCAAAGAGGTTCTTCTTGCATCCAAAACTGCAGACAAATGAGTCATGGTTCAAACTGGGACAAACGGATCCATAAAGCAAGTTCTGTAGCTATAATTGGCATCCTCCACACTTTAACTCTACAGTTACTCACCCAGTGTTCCTAAAAGGCTTCTTGGAATCATATCGTTCAGTCCCAGAATCCATGGGAGATATGTCCTCAGGCTTCATGAGGATATACAGAACGGTGGATAATAGAAAATCATATCAAAATGAAAGACCTCTGGCCCAGAATGTCATAGAATCACACTGGAGGGTGTACAAAATGCCAGGAAAGGACATTTTTTTTGGATGTGGATGAATGAAACAGTACTGTATATTATTTATCGTGTCCTATGAGGTTGTGAAGCCAGAGGAGAGCAAACCAACACAAGCTCTTCATGTCATCTTTGTGATTGAGTTGCGATCTAAGCTTGCTTCTGCCTGGTTCTGGTTTGGCACCCAGTTCATTTACATGGCATGATTACAGTGTGAGGCCAGGCCGAGGGGCTGGATCTATGAATGCAGCAAAAGAAGGCGGCTTTGAAATGTGGGTTGTGGACTTAGAGAACCTTTATAAATTTCACAATTGTTTTCATTTATGCTGGAAAAGCTAAATGAAATCCATATGTCCTACCCTCGCAATTTTGGCTAAATCATACTCTCACAGAAACCATATAAGAACATTAGCTAAGTGCTTCTCTGTAGCTTCTCTGTTGTTGAACTCTGCTTTGTATAGTATACATAATTTATTTAATATAATATAATACTATACAATATGTAATAGTTCTGACCTAAATAGTTTAAAAACACCAGATCCTGGAAGATAAGCAGGATCAGCCCTGGTTAGTACTTGGATGGGGACCATCCAAAAATACCAGGTTTGTAGTCCAGCATCACCTAGAATCATAGAGTTGGAAGAGACCTTGTGGGCCATCCAGTCAAACTCACTGCAAAGAGGCAGGAAAATCGCATTCAAAGCACCCCTGACAGATGGCCATCCAGCCGCTGCTTAAAAGTGTCCAAAAAGGAGTCTCCAAAGAAGGAGCCTCCAAAGAAGGAACCTCCAAAGAAGGAACCTGGTTGGCCCAATTTCCAACCCTGGATGGCTCAAGAATTGTGAAAATATATAGGAAGCTGTCTGGCCCTGCAAATAGTCAGGCCTACATCAGGAGAGAGTAAAGTATGGCTGCCCAAGGCTTTTTTGTGACCTTAACCCATTGAAGACTAGCTCAGGATGCTGATTTCCAGCAAAATAATTGAGTAAGCAATGGGGCCCCATTGTCCTGCTTGACATGAAAAAATCTGTTTTGTTTTCTTTTGTAAAGCAGAAGTGAGTTGCCATCTAGTTCTGGGGAATTTGCTTATCATAATATTTGGCAATCTGTGAGGCTTTTCGAGAATTCCAGGACAGTCAGTTTCCCCCCGGCTACATTGACCATTTAATGCAGTTTGAAGCCAGACAGCAAACTCTCACAGCATGGGAAAGAAAACCTTTAATGCACACCAGTGCTCTGCGGTTTGTGTCATCACCATCTAAGCCTCAAATTGATTCCAGGATTTCCTACATAAGCATCCCTATGCTCTCCAAGGGGGCAGAGCCTTGCATCCTTGCGTCAAACATTCAAAGACATGTGATGTCATTTTCGGCTGTTGTTTTTGGTATTTTAAAGCCTATTTTGAGGATTGTTTTGGATTTGGAGGTCTTCTGGACCTCTGAGGCTTCATGAATGGGCAGATTAATGAAACTGCCATATTTCTGGGCACATTTGGGAGATTTGGGGCCATTTTCACATGTCAACATATTTGAAAATTGGTCTGGGCCTTGATGAGGAGCCTTGGCACTAAAATGGGCTGGAGAGACTTTCACT